GTTGAACACTGTGTACTAACAGAGGATTCCACATTAAACCAGCGCCAAAACTGCCTTCACCACCTCAGACCACCAAAATCACCACGTTGACCATCTCAGCGGTGGTTTGAGGTGGTGAAGGCGGTGGTTTTGGCGGTCAAAGCGGTAGTTTTGGCGGTCTGAGGTGGTGAACGTGGTTGTTTTTGCGGTCTGAGGTGGCGAAGGCAGTTTTGGTGCTGGTTTGATGTGGAATCCTCTGTTAATACAAGTTGAACACCGTGTACTAATGCTGGTCTCTGTCCCCTTTGCATCTTTAGTTCGGGCTGACCTTTGACCAGCCCCTAGTTTATGCTTCTATAGGCTTAGACTTCCTCTCGATGTATAGATTCATTAATGCATATCACTAACTCACCGTTAGGGACTTGAACTTTCCAAATGTACAATCTGTCTACAATTCTAGGGCTTTACATTGGAGATGCGGGTGCCCAAATGGACGGACAGAAAGACACCCTAACTTTTGTTCCTGAGTGCACTAAAAATAAGCAAGGGTGGTCTACACCACCAAATCAATCAAACATCAACTTTTTGTAGAAAGAAAAAACACTGCAATTCCTGCAAAGACAAAAAAAATGACAAGTTGACTTACATGAAAATGAAGGATCCATGATGGTGTCAGAAAATGTCCCTGTTACTCCAAAGACGTTACGATGGGTTTCGAGCAGGACCACGGCAACAGGCTCTGTCACGGTTCATGATCCAGACCCATCCTGTAATACTGCTAGAGGAGGGAAACAAAAACTCCGGGGAGCGATGCCCCGGGGGTTGAGTTAGTGATATGTATTAATGAATGTATACATAGAGAGGAATTCTAAGCCTATAGGAGCATAAACTAGGGGCTGGTCCAAGGTCAGCCCGAGCTAAAGCTGCAAAGGGGACGGAGACCAGCGTTTACAAGTTGAACACTGTGTACTAACAGAGGATTCCACATCAAACCAGCGCCAAAACTGCCTTCGCCACCTCAGACCGCCAAAACGACCACGTTCACCACCTCAGACCTTCAAAACCACCACCTCAAACGACCGCCAAAACAACTGTGTTCACCACCTCAAACACAACGCCTTCACCATCTCAAAAAACGACCGCAAACACAACCGCCTTGACCACCTCAAACGACAGCCAAAACGACCACATTCACAAACAACCCCATGACAACCACGTGCAATGCTTCAAAAAGTGCATTTAAATCAATTAAACATCAACTTTTTGGAGAAAAAAAACACTGCAATTTCTGCAAAGACAATAACAATGACAAAGTTGACTTACATGAAAATGAAGGATCCATGATGGTGTCAGAAAATGTCCCTGTTACTCCAAAGACGTTACGATGGGCTTCGAGCAGGACCACGGCAACAGGCTCTGTCACGGTTCATGATCCAGACCCATCCTGTAATATTTCAAAACCTGCAAGAAGAGGGACACAAACTCCGGGGAGCGATGCCCCGGGGGTTGAGTTAGTGATGTGATATGCATTAATGAATGTATACATAGAGAGGAAGTCTAAGCCTATAGGAGCATAAACTAGGGGCTGGTCCAAGGTCAGCCCGAGCTAAAGCTGCAAACTATTTTATCGTTAAAAAAGCACATAAAATCATTACTACTGAGTGCTATGGGAATAGAAGGCTCAATCGAGCTGTGGCTATCTGTCAGCCTGGCTACAGTGCTGAAAAGAAATCTTGCATTATTGTTATTCCCATCTATTAATGAAGAGTAGTAGGCTGCTCTCGCTTTACGCAGTGCTTTCTTATATTCATTGAGAGTAATATGCCAAATTAAACGAGATTCTTCAAGTTTAGTGGAACGCCATATCCTTTCAAGTTGTCTCGACTTTTGCTTTATTTTGCGGGTTTGGGCATTATGCCATGGAGCTAATCTTTGTTGTTTTATTTTCTTCTTTTTCAAAGGAGCAACAGAGTCTAATTTTATTCGCAGCGCATCTGTAGCACTATCAACAACATGATCAATTTGGGGTGGTGTACATTTTGTATAAGTTTCCTCCCCTACATGCAGACATGCCATCGAGTTAAGTATTGGTGGAATCTCTTCCTTAAATTTGGCTATAGCACTAACAGATAGTTTTCTCAAACAACCACATTCACCACCTCAAAACAACCGCGCTCGTAGAACGCTTTGAATTAGGGACATTTTATGGCACTGTTGGCCTGCCATAATTCAGCGCTCATACATCCTCATAGTTTCTACAGCAAAAAAGTGTCTAAACATCCGTTTTTTTCAAGGAAACCAGTGTCCAAACATCCGCACAGCAGCTTCCTCTTTAAACTGACGCAGCGCACACAGTCACTTTTACACGCGACACACTGCGCGAGGCTGCTGCTGTCCTTCACATTTCACAAACAATTGCAGAGCACCTGTTACCTCACCTGTGTGCATTTAAACATTATGGTGTGTAAATACAATAGAGACCTGCTCACCTGCTCGGTCTAAAAGAAATGGCACCTCAGTGTTCTCATTTAAATAGGGAGCACCTGATCAACGCGAACAAGTAACAGCTGACAAACAGATCATGTGACAAACAGGTAACAGCTGACAACATGTCTTTATTTATAATGTGATATCATTCAAACAGCAGATTTAAAACATATATATTTAAAGGGGACCTATCATGCAAAATGCACTTTTGTACGTCTTGTATACATGAACATGTGTCCCCGGTGTTCCAGGGAACTCACCAAGTGTCAGAAAATACAACCCTCTCTATTTTCCTCCATACCCAAATCTCTAAAAAAAAAAGGGGCTGCAACGGATCTGATAAAAACTGATCCAGATTTGAAAGTTCTCTGATGTCAATAAAGTGGCGCTACGGCTATTGTTCAATTCTCCACCTATCAGGGGAATGAGAGGTTGGGCCACGGCCGGCCATTGCTGCTCGAAAGCGCTGGAGACACTGTAGTACATATGCCAGGCCTGTAAGTGGCGCTGTAGTCTGAATCAAAAGCAGCGAAGAAGACTTCCCTTGCATGGTTGCCATGGTTGCCCTTCTGTCCGCTGTGGCTCTTTTTCTCCCTCCCCGAGGCAAGCGTTTCCTGCTTTAAAACAAATGAATAATGACTCTATATAATCATATGTAAGGGATAATGTGCAGCGACGCGGTCATTATGGGGAGAAGAACACCGACAGGCTGATCAGGAGCCCGACGCGAGGCGGAGGGATCTAGATCGGCATGAAGGTGTTATTATCCCGCTTATTACACGGCCACATTCTCAACAAAGTAACGACATGACTCCCAATATTAATTTAAATGCTTTTATGGATTTAGAAAATGATTTTATTGATTTAAAAAATAGTTGTATTGATTTAAATTGACATGCATCCGCTAAGAAAAATAGTCCGTTGTTACTTTGAACTAACGTAGCGGGGCAGGAAGTGCTTCGATAGCGTTCTTGAGGAGCTTTTTGATTACAGAATTGAAAACATCGTTGCTTGCTTTAAAAGTAGCACAATTCATTATGTCAAACCTTGAGAAGTATCTAGATATCCCTGCCCTAATGCCAAAGGAACTGACAACTGAATATGTGTCGCCGTTTGATGTCTATGTCTGGACCGCTGCGTAACAAGGAGGGTTTCTGCCCCATTACTTCTCTTCTTACTTCTATAAGAATAAGACACGGAGGACGGAGATCTCTTTTTGTCCCCCTCTTCTCCCCGCTGCAGCCTAGCAGCTGATCTCAAAGCATGCTCCCCTCTCCTGCAGGGGGGCGTGGTCAGCTGCAGGGGGCGTGGTCAGCTGCAGCTCACAGAATCAGCCCCCTGTAAAAACAGCGCTTGAAAGAGCAAATGGAACTAAATGAGGTGTGGCTAAAATGCAGGATATTTTTGGTATTTTGAAAAAAAATATATATTTATATAATTTATATAGGTATGGCCCTACAATATATTGTTCAAATATAGCATGATAGGTGTCCTTTAAACTACATTTAGGTCGGACAGTGTACCGGTTATACGGGGATACAAATGAATGTTGTCCAAATGAAATGAAATGCATTGATTGATTGATTGTTTCACCAACAGACTGAAGGGCTGCAGTAAACCAGCAGTAAAACATGATCAAATACGAGTCATTAAAACATTTATATCAAAAGTGAGGAAATTAAAGTTTGAAGGAATTAAACCGCTTTAATGTTGTTGTTGTTGTTATTATTATCTTTATTAATATCAAGCATTAGGGACCATGATAAACTCAGTCTTTTATCAGCTTTAATGGTTTGATTGAAAATATATTTTAATGTATATTTTAAAAAACAGCAAAGTGACACACACTCCAATATATACAGTATATGTACAGTATTTATACGTTTGTATAACTCCTCCTCCTCTGTCTCTGTCCGTGGTGCTGAAACCGTTAGAGAATCAGACTGACTGAGTGTGTGTGTGTGTGTGTGTGTGTGTGTGTGTGTGTGTGTGTGTAACATGTACAAATACATGATGATAAACACACACACATATATTTAGTAAATGTGTGTGTGTTTATTTGTAATCATATGTGGGCGGGGCTTGTGGCAGGTGGGGGGGGGGGGGGGTGCAGAGAGACAAAGACTGCAGCTGTGTGGGGGGGGATCTCTTTCTTCCTGTGGGGGAGGGGGGAGGATTAACCGGCTGATCTGCGACACGCGATACACATGCATACACACAAATGTATCTCTCTCTCTCACACGCGCACGCACGCACACACACTCTCACACTCTCTCTCTCTCTCGGCGGTGGAGCTCCATCAGCGGCGGAGAGTCGGAAGACAAAGAGAGAGAGAGAGAGAGAGAGAGAGAGAGAGAGAGAGAGAGAGAGAGAGAGAGAGAGAGAGAGGAGAGAGAGAGAGAGAGAGAGAGAGAGAGAGAGAGAGAGAGAGAGAGAGAGAGTGAGAGAGAGAGAGAGAGAGAGAGAGAGAGAGAGAGAGAGAGAGAGACACCTGACCGTGTGACGACAGACAGGAGGAGGGAGACAGAGAGACAGAGAGGCAGGCAGGCAGACAGAGAGGCAGGCAGACAGACAGAGAGAGAGACAGACAGACAGACAGAGAGACAGACAGACAGAGAGACAGACAGACAGAGAGACAGACAGGAGGGGCAAATGGAGAGACGGCCTCAGCGCGTCTGCATGATGGCGGACCACATGTTCCTGTGAGGGGGGGGGACGCGCTGTTCAGTGGGTGTGTTCCGACAGACCGACCGTGTGTGTGTCCGCCGTTTGGACCGTGTGTGGTCGATGTACCGGGGATAGTGATCAGTGTACCCGGGATAGTGATGGGGAACGCGGAGAGCATGGAGTCTCAGCTCGCGGTGATCCGGTCCAGAGCCGCTCCGGCCCGCCTCCCGATGCCCGAACCCGCCGAGCTGGAGGAGAGGTTCTCCATCGCGCTGGTAAATACACATATACATGAGATAGATATATATATATATATATATATATATATATATATATATATATATATATATATATATATATATATACATACATATATATATACATACATGAGATATATATATATATATATATATATATATATATATATATATATACACATACATGATATACACACTGCACACTATATATATATATACCATTATTTACATTATACACACACATCCATAATACACAAGCTACACAGAATAGACAACCACAATACCTTTTTAATACACGCGCGCGCACACACGAATAGCATGTTGTACTGTGACTTCATGGACACACTGATCAGGGATTATAGCCATCGTCTTTTTGCATATTTATTTTTTCGTTATTTTATTCTTTTTTTGGGGTTTTATGAATTTCACTTATTTGTATGTATTGTATTTAAGTATTATTCTGGTTTTCCTTCAGTAGTCAGGTTAGGATCCTCCATCTGTTGATAACAAACTGTTCAGACAGAATGTAGGCGAGTAAATACTGTACTAATATACAGTAGACAGTGTATATATATATATATATATATATATATATATAGGGTATCACTGTTATCACTACTATTACTGTTATCACTACTATTATTACTAACCCTCACAAATTGGGTTCAATCCGTGTTTTAATAACCCACCTCACAGCTGAGCTTTAAGCTCAAAACAGACATTGGTTACTGTAGTAACGGGTTGGGGGAGGGGGGGTTCAGTGTCTGATGTGACCACCACTGGCTTCACGCAGTGCAACACGTCTCCTTCACAGAGAGTAGATCAGGTCTGTGGTCTGTTGGATGTGGAGAGGCTGGATGTGGGGGTCCTGGTCTGGTGTGGGGGTCCTGGTCTGTAGTTCTGAGGCCGGTTGGATGCGCCAGATTCTCTGTGGAGACTGATGGTGGAAAAATGAACATTAAATGCACAGCTCTGACATTCAGTCAGAATTTGTGAACAATATTTGAGAGAAAACGGTCTTTTGTGTTCGTAGAAAAAGTCTTAGATCTTTGATTTCAGCTCATGGACAATGGGAGCAAAAACAAAAGTGTTGCGTTTCTATTTGTTCATATTATGATGTGTATCTGGTTCATATATATATATATACACACACAGTAGAGATATATGATGCGTATCTGGTATATATATATATATACACACACACACACAGTACAGATGTATGATATCTGCTTCCTCTCTCCAGAATTCCATGAACCTCCCTCCTGATAAAGTGCGTCTGCTCCGGTCCTACGACAGCGACAAGAAGTGGGAGCTGATCTGTGACCAGGTGAGAGGAGAACCCTTTAGAACCACTAACACTACACACACCTGCAGAGCTCACAGTGTGTGTATGTATGTATGTATGTATGTGTGTGTGTGTGTGTGTGTGTGTGTGTGTGTGTGTGTGTGTGTGTGCGCGTAGGAGAGGTTTCAGGTGAAGAACCCCCCCCACACCTACATCCAGAAACTGAGAGGCTTCCTGGACCCGGCCGTCACACGCAAGGTGAGCTGGGAAATGTAGTTTCTAGATGATGTCTTTACAACTAACTCTATCACAGGAAGTCTCTTCTCATCATCGCCACAATATAATATTCATATCTGTCTGTCTGTCTGCCTGCCTGTCTCTCTGCCTGCCTGTCTGTCTGTCTCTCTGCCTGTCTGTCTCTCTCTCTCTGCCTGTCTGTCTCTCTCTCTGTCTGTCTCTATGTCTGTCTCTCTGTCTGCCTGCCTGTCTGTCTGCCTGTCTGTCTGTCTGTCTGCCTGTCTGTCTCTATGTCTGCCTGCCTGTCTGTCTGTCTGTCTGTCTGCCTGTCTGTCTCTATGTCTGTCTGTCTCTCTGTCTGCCTGCCTGCCTGCCTGTCTCTCTGCCTGCCTGTCTGTCTGTCTCTCTGCCTGTCTGTCTCTCTCTCTGTCTGTCTCTATGTCTGTCTCTCTGTCTGTCTGTCTCTCTGCCTGTCTGTCTCTCTGTCTGTCTCTCTGTCTGTCTCTATGTCTCTCTGTCTGTCTCTATGTCTCTCTGTCTGTCTCTCTGGCTGTCTTTCTGCCTGTCTGCGTCTCTGTCTGCCTGTCTGTCTGCCTGTCTGTCTCTCTGTCTCTCTGCCTGTCTGTCTCTCTCTGCCTGTCTGTCTGTCTGTCTGTCTGTCTCTCTGTCTGTCTCTCTCTCTGTCTGTCTGTGTCTCTGTCTGCCTGTCTGTCTCTCTGCCTGCCTGTCTGCCTGTCTCTCTGTCTGTCTCTCTGTCTGTCTGTCTGCCTGTCTGTCTGTCTGTCTGTCTCTATGTCTGTCTCTCTGTCTGCCTGCCTGTCTGTCTGTCTCTCTGCCTGTCTGTCTCTCTGTCTGTCTCTCTGTCTGTCTCTATGTCTCTCTGTCTGTCTCTATGTCTCTGTCTGTCTCTCTGGCTGTCTTTCTGCCTGTCTGCGTCTCTGTCTGCCTGTCTGTCTGCCTGTCTGTCTCTCTGTCTCTCTGCCTGTCTGTCTCTCTGTCTCTCTGTGTCTCTGTCTGCCTGTCTGCCTGCCTGTCTCTCTGTCTGTCTGTCTGTCTGTCTGTCTGTCTGTCTGTCTGTCTGTCTGTCTGTCTGTCTGTCTGTCTGTCTGTCTGTCTGTCTGTGTCTCTGTCTGTGTCTCTGTCTGCAGAAGTTCAGACGGAGGGTTCAGGAGTCGACTCAGATGCTCAGAGAACTGGAGATTTCTCTTCGGACCAATCACATCGGGTATGTGACCTGTCTGTATCTCACCTGTCTGTATCTCACCTGTCTGTATTTCGCCTGTCTGTCTCTCGCCTGTCTGTCACCTGTCTGTCTGTCACCTGTCTGCCTGTCACCTGTCTATTTCTCACCTGTCTGTTTCTCGCCTGTCTGTCTCTCACCTGTCTGTCTCTCACCTGTCTGTCTCTCACCTGTCTGTCTGACACCTGTCTGTCTCTCACCTGTCTGTCTGTCTCTCACCTGTCTGTCACCTGTCTGTCTGTCACCTGTCTTTTTCTCACCTGTCTGTCTCTATCTGTCTGTCTACAGGTGGGTCAGGGAGTTCCTGAATGAGGAGAACCGGGGTCTGGATGTCCTCGTAGAATATCTGTCCTTCGCTCAGTACGCCGTCACGTGAGTCTGAACCCACACACACTGGAACCCCTTCCTGTTCCCAAGAGCAGAGGTTCTCAATTGTTTTTCAGCCAAGGACCCCTTACAAGATAGAGAATACACCAAGGACCCCCTCATTCTGATTTGTGATTTTGGGCTATATAAATAAAAATGTACTTGATTTGACTTGTATGTCCCTTGGAATAATCTGACGTAGCCTATTTTTTACACTTCTATAGTCTTAGTTATGTGAAAGAACAACACAAGAGAAAGTATTAGAAAGATATTAGATATGTATTAAAAATATTTGCACCATCTCAACACAGAATACCCATAAAACAATCAATCAATTAGCTGCAAGTAACACTGTACCTAAAGAAAATATCAAAGGGAAATCAAGAGAAAAGTGATCATTTGAAGTGCATTTCAGAACATACACACACACACACACATACATAAAGATAACACATCAAGTGTTTCACTCTTAGTTAAATGATTTATAAAAGTCAAATCACAAAATAAATGCAGGCTATAAACAATTGAACACATGCCTGCATTGCAACATATATCAAGTAAATTGCAAAACAACTGCAACTGCATTGCTACAATCCCAAACTACTACTTGTAATGGCAGCCAGCTCTGGACACTATTGGAGTGATGCAAGGCAGTCCATGAAGCTGATTGCTTCTCTCTGCAAGTGAAGACACGCAAGGTGTGGCCCTTAGTGTGGGTGGGACCTTGGACATGCTGTGTGATGTTAAAGCACTCCAATAGTGACAGAAACTCAGCGGCAAAGGTGCAGGTGCTGGAGTCCACGTGGATGTTAAAATCACCTAGCAGTAGTGTGGATGGGGACATGGAGCAGATTGAGGTGAGAAGCTCAGACAACTCAGACATGAATGAGGTGGAAGGTTTGGGGGGGCGGTACTTGCTGCTTTGAGGGGGCAGCCACTGAGAAGGCAATGCACTCAAGTGAGATTTTATTCGTCACAAGCAGCTGTTTGACAGGCAGGGATGCAACCTCATCAGGTATGGAAAAGGTGACAAGGATCTGAGCCCCTCGACCCCACGGAATATCGGCTTTAAAATGAGGAATAACAGGATGTTAGCAGTCAGAACAACTAAAGCAGCAGGTAATAATAACAGAAACGCTAAAGAGTCACATCTAATAGAAATATATAAAACCATTTATTTTAATTGTGTAGCAGTCAGTTTATCATTCTGGCAGCACTGTTGGGCATTTTGAAAATGTATTTTCATGCCTCTGTGCAAGGCTTAGTCTTTCTATCTTTATAGCCACTGGTGTAAAGTAACTAAGTTCATAAACTCAAGTACTACTTGGGTACAATTTTGAGATACTTGTACTTTATTTAAGTATTTCAATGTTTTGCTACTTTGTTCTTCTTCTCCTCTACAGTTCAGAGGTAAAAAGTGTACTATTCCTCCACCACATGTATTAATACCTTTAGTTACTTCACAGATCTGGATGAATGATGTGAAATCTAATCAAGTGTTAAATCAGACTTTAGTTCCACCTGGAGTAAATCCAACAGCTACCCTGCAGAATACAAAGTCATTCAAACTAGCTGCACCTTTACCAGCTTTGAGAACACTTTCATGATCAATCATTATAAAACACATCATATATATTATTCTGAAATGGACCAATCAAACAACGACTACTTTTACTGTCGCTACTTTCACTATATTTTGATGAGAACACTTTTACTTGAGGAACATTTTGAATGCAGTACTTTTACTGTAACAGAGTATTCCTACACTCTGGTACTTCTACTCAAGTACAAGACCTGAGTACTTCTACTTTTACTGTCGCTACTTTAACTATATTTTGATGATAATACTTTTGTACTTTTATTTGAGGAACATTTTGATTGCAGGATTGTTCCTACACTCAAGTACTTCTACTTTTACTCAAGTACAAGACCTGAGTACTTCTATTACTCTAGTACAAGATCTGAGTACTTCTACTTTTAATAAAGTACAAGATCTGAGTACTTCTACTTTTACTCTAGTACAATATCTGAGTACTTCTGCTTTTAATCAAGTACAATATCTGAGTACTTAGCCAGCTCAACGATAATATTGCGACAGAAAAACCTTTCAGTTCACATCACGCTCTGCCACTCCGACAGGGAGCTCTGCTCTGGACACCTGAACGGCCCGTTCTAACAGCTGTTCACCAGCGGTCAGTCTGTGCCACAGTGACTCCGGACCGCACAGTTAATATTAACGAACGCACCCGTAGTGTGGCTGCTGAAGCTAGACCATCATCGCGGAGCAGCAGATACATCCATGAGCAGAGCCGACAGGGAGGAAGACTCGAGCACACAGCTCGCGCTGCATATATAAAAAAAGAATGAATGATGACACATAACAGCTCGTGGCCGCAGATTACTCCGGGTCCCAGACCCCCCTCCATACCCCAAAAATATTTGTATTGCAGATCTACATGAATCACACTAACGACATATTTTGGATTCAAAATGGCGAATTTTGCCGAAAGGTGACAAGTTTGCATCCCTGGACAGGGATATCTGCTCTGTGGATGACTGCCAGCCCACCACCACGACCAATGGAGCGGGGCTGTTGGAGATAAGCATAACCTGGGGGTGGGGGGGGGAAGGCCAGGTTGAGTGTGAGGAAGTCCTGTTGGTTTTGCCATGTCTCAGTGAGGCAGAGAAAATCCAATTTCCTATCAATGATGATTTTATTAATAAGTGATGATGCTTTGTTGTTAAGGGAGCGGGTATTTAACAACATGAATGTGGGGGAGTTGTTATATGTTGCAATGGCTGGTAAAATAGTGATGCCATCAACACAGGCCAAGGGCTTCAGGTTAACACTGCACACGTGTAGTTTGTTGTGATGACGTAAGTGGGTGGTGACGGGGCGCCGGGACCACACAGTTGGGATAGTGTCAGCTGAGCCGGTGTAAACAAACCCACGTTTGGAACCTCTATGGACATACCTGGGTCTGCCAACTCGTAACAGCCCGAGGTATTCAATGACTGACAGACATAGAGGGGGTGTAGTGAAGTGGTTGATCCTAAAAAGTTGCGAGGCGGACTAACGAAGCATCACGATGGTATGATGCTAACGTTAGCACAGCGTTAGCTGTGGTCGCGGATCGGCCGGGAGAATGCGCTATCAGCCAAGAGTACAGATGAACCAGGACAGCAGGCAGCCTGTCCAGGAAGCGACTCGAGGACGGACAGCACTGAGGAGAGATGGTGGAAGTTGAAGAAGTTTGCCGCAGAGGAGCACCGGTGGTGGCCAGTAGGGCTGTCCCGAATACCATTTTTCGGGCTCCGGATATTCGGTAGTAATCAGCAGCGAATATTCGAATATTCGGTGCGGAGAGATTTTTATTTTTTTTTTTAAATGTCATAACACGCTCCGAGACACCTGACAACACGCTGTTAAGCAGAAGCGCAGAAAGAGCATAGGCCTCTATTACGATTTATATTTATTTATTGTCTCAGTACTCGCATACATTAAAACTAAATGTGTCCTCTGCATTTAACCCAGCCGCAGCGCAGCGCAGCGCAGCGCAGCGCAGCGCAGCGCAGCGCAGCGCAGCGCAGCGCAGCGCAGCGCAGCGCAGCGCAGCGCCCGGGGACCAAATCCGGTTCCAAATTCCGTCTATAACGTTTTACAACCTGAAGATACAAAACACATATTTCATATTATAACAACAATACTTTTAATAACATAGCCGTAACAGTAGGCCTAACAGGGTAACACTTGTTACCGATACAGTAAACAGTATTTAAATAAATGAAGAACGAAAAATAAATAAACGAACTGTATGCCAATAATTGCCTTAGCCCCAGATGTTCCCACATTGCTCCTATTATTTTCACTATTCGGATCAAATTGAAAAACTAATATAAAAAACAATTCGGTTGCTCTCAACTATTTTCCAAGCAAAGTAAGAGCACGATTGTATCATGTGTAACGTTACGGTTTAAACGGCGGATAAAGCAGCTTCATCGTGGCAACTTGCCAACAGCTAAGCTAAGCTAGGCTAATACTTACAGCATCCGGTGACTTTTCAGAGTTGTTGTGCCACCGGCCAGTTTCTCGTCGCATATTCTTACCGTCGTCCAATTTAAAATGGTCCCACACAGCCGGAGTCTTCGGCATTTTGTGTTCAGGTGTGTGAAACGAGGTGAAGCGAGGTGAAGCGTGCCGTTTGCGTTCGTGACTGTGAGTGCACGCGATGTCAGGAGCACAGCACAGGCTGAGATTGTATATATTTCCTCATTTTAACAGTGCAATTCAAAAGTATAAATATAGTATAAGAATATGGCAATTCGCCTTTATTGATGGCATACATTTAGCAACAAAAATTAAATAAATTGAAAAAAAAATTAAAAACGAATATCCGAATAATAAAATTGAAACCCAAATAGTTGGCCAACGAACGAATATTCGAATAGTCGAATATTCGGGTACAGCCCTAGTGGCCAGAGCAGGCTAGCCTGAGCAGGTAGAACAAGGCTAGCTTCTGATCGCCGTCAGACTGGCTGGGTGGAGGACCGTTGTTGTGTCTTTTGTGGCAGAACAAAATCAAACAGCAGCTAAGCAGGTGATACAGTGAAGCAGGATCGGGACTCAAAACGGGAAAATGAGACGGAGAATGAGGCTTGTCGTCAGATGGAGCCACTAACGTTAGCGATAGCGTTAGCCCTGAAGCAGGAGCAACATTAGCAGGTGTAGCAGGGTGGACAGGTCGGAAGCGGAGCATCCGTAAAAAGTTGCCATCGGGTGTTACAAAAGTGTCCAGAACAGCGTGTGCAAGCCACTGCACGTATGGAAACTGAGGTAGAAACGTTGGTCCAAAACTCGGCAGATACATTTTCGGACAGAGAAGCGGCGAACAGACAACGCCAGCGTCCTCTCTCTCCAAAAGTGTTGCGTCACAAAAATAAATAAATAAAAAAAATAAAAAATCTAATGAATCTGAAAACTTTTCACGGACCCCCTGGCAGAGTGCCGCGGACCCCACTTTGAGAACCACTGCCCTAGAGAACCGACTGAACCAAGACAAGCCGGTGTTTTAACGTACCTGTCTTTATAGAACCGACTGAACCAAGAGAACCCCGTGTTTTAACGTACCTGTCTTTATAGAACCGACTGAACCAAGAGAACCCCGTGTTTTAACGTACCAGACTTTATAGAACCGACTGAACCAAGAGAACCCCGTGTTTTAACGTACCTGTCTTTATAGAACCGACTGAACCAAGAGAACCCCGTGTTTTAACGTACCTGTCTTTATAGAACCGACTGAACCAAGAGAACCGGGTGTTTTAACGTACCTGTCTTTAGAGAACCGACTGAAGCAAGAGAACCCCGTGTTTTAACGTACCTGTCTTTATAGAACCGACTGAACCAAGAGAACCCCGTGTTTTAACGTACCTGTCTTTATAGAACCGACTGAACCAAGAGAACCGGGTGTTTTAACGTACCCGTCTTTATAGAACCGACTGAACCAAGAGAACCCCGTGTTTTAACGTACCTGTCTTTATAGAACCGACTGAACCAAGAGAACCCCGTGTTTTAACGAACCTGTCTTTATAGAACCGACTGAACCAAGAGAACCCCGTGTTTTAACGTACCTGTTTTTATAGAACCGACTGAACCAAGAGAACCCCGTGTTTTAACGTACCTGTCTTTAGAGAACCGACTGAACCAAGAGAACCCCGTGTTTTAACGTACCTGTCTTTATAGAACCGACTGAACCAAGAGAACCCCGTGTTTTAACGTACCTGTCTTTAGAGAACCGACTGAACCAAGAGAACCCCGTGTTTTAACGTACCTGTCTTTATAGAACCGACTGAACCAAGAGAACCAGGTGTTTTAACGTACCTGTCTTTATAGAACCGACTGAACCAAGAGAACCCGGTGTTTTAACATACCTGTCTTTATAGAACCGACTGAACCAAGAGAACCCCGTGTTTTAACGTACCTGTCTTTATAGAACCGACTTATCAAAGAGAACCCCTTGTTTTAACGTACCTGTCTTTATAGAACCGACCGAACCAAGAGAACCGGGTGTTTTAACGTACCAGACTTTATAGAACCGACTGAACCAAGAGAACCCCGTGTTTTAACGTACCTGTCTTTATAGAACCGACTGAACCAAGAGAACCCCGTGTTTTAACGTACCTGTCTTTATAGAACCGACTGAACCAAGAGAACCGGGTGTTTTAACGTACCTGTCTTTAGAGAACCGACTGAACCAAGAGAACCCCGTGTTTTTACGTACCTGTCTTTATAGAACCGACTGAACCAAGAGAACCCCGTGTTTTAACGTACCTGTCTTTATAGAACCGACTGAACCAAGAGAACCCCGTGTTTTAACGTACCTGTCTTTATAGAACCGACTGAACCAAGAGAACCGGGTGTTTTAACGTACCTGTCTTTAGAGAACCGACTGAACCAAGAGAACCCCGTGTTTTAACGTACCTGTCTTTATAGAACCGACTGAACCAAGAGAACCCCGTGTTTTAACGTACCTGTCTTTATAGAACCGACTGAACCAAGAGAACCGGGTGTTTTAACGTACCTGTCTTTATAGAACCGACTGAACCAAGAGAACCGGGTGTTTTAACGAACCTGTCTTTATAGAACCGACCGAACCAAGACAACCGGGTGTTTTAACGTCCCTGTCTTTAGAGAACCAAGTGTTCTAATGTTCTTGGCTTTATAAAACTGATTGAACAGACGGACCAAGTGTTTCAACCTGATCGTCTTCATGTGGTGAACGCAGTAGGTTTAGCTTGTATGAGGAGAACCCTCTGATTCTGGTTCTGTTGTTGGCAGGTTTGACTCTGAAGGAGAACCTGACTGTGGTTATGTTGTAGGTTTGATGGGGAGCAGGTGGAGGTTGGAGGCGAGGCGTCCTCCATCGACTCGCCCTGGAGCCGCTCCATCGAGGATCTCCACGGAGACGCTGGCCTCCCCTCGCCCTCCTCCTCCGGACCGAGAGCTGCCCGACACTCCATCAGGTGAGAGAACCGGAGACACTGAGAGACACTGAAGACACCTGAGAGACACTCCTGAGAGACACCTGAGAGACACTGGGAGACACTCCTAAGAGACACTCCTAAGAGACACCTGAGAGACACACCTGAGAAACACTGGGAGACACTGAGAGACACTCCTAAGAGACACTCCTTAGAGACACACCTGAGCAACACTGGGAGACACTGGAGACACCTGAGAGACACTCCTAAGAGACACTCCTTAGAGACACCTGAGAGACACACCTGAGAGACACCTGAGACACTTAGAGACACCTGAGACACTCAGAAACACACAGACACCAGAGACATCCAGGGACACTGGAAACAGTCTCTCAAAGGATAGGAAACAGATAATAAATACATTAACAACATGTGTTCTGCAGCTCTGCGATGGTGACTCGCTCCAACACACTGCCCAGTCGCCGGACTCTGAAGAACTCAAGACTCGTCTGCAAGAAAGACGACGTACACGTTTGTGTCATGTGTCTGAGAGCCGTCATGAACTACCAGGTACTAGCATACTACCAGGTACTAGCATGCTATTTAAGCAATAGCTCACGACAGGCCGTGGTATATGGTCATTATATCACAGTTAAGGGGCGTGGTTCAACAACACCCTTAACCATATATCACGGCCTGAAGTGAGCTTTTGATTTTATAACACGGTTACCAAGTGTGGCAATATGAAAGAAAAAGACACACTCTAATTTAAATAGTTTTTATTAACAAATAATGATGTTCAAAATAAAATAGTCCCTCCGTTGCCTTCTGCACAAAACATAGTGCGAGGTGGTTGCTATTAGGGCTGTGCAATTAATCGTATTTTAATCGCGATTACGATTATGGCTTGCGACGATTAGGAAAACAGCATAATTGACAAAATACGATTATTTTGCTGGGTGCGCTTTCGCCCCTCCCTAAAAGCCCACTCGGCCACGTGGGAGTGACATGTGTTGTGAGTGTTCAGCGCAAGCCAAGATGTCAGAACAAGAGCAGCAACTAGTTAAAAAGAAGGGTCGCGGGGAGATTCCCAGTCGATCGCGAGATGTGTCTAAAAATAGAACAACAATATTCTGTTTTATCGTTAATGTCCTGTAACATAATGTTCCCGTGCCAGAATAATGCACTTGAACGCATCAAAGCTTTGTGATTGGCCGGCCTCACCCCATGTGTCCGGGCGTGGCTGGTGAGCAGTGAGTGCACTAGTTCGCTGACGTTGTCCGTGTCAACAGCATGGATGGTCAACAGGAGTGACAGTCCGCACACACACACAAGACCGCAATTATGGCAGAAGCAAAAAAGCCCAAAATATATAATTTTCACTCCAAGTGGGAGGATCATTATTTTTGTATCTATTCCAATTCAAAGTCCATCTGTCTCATCTGCAATGCGAGCGTGGCTTTATCGAAGAAGGGTAATTTAGGAGCGGCATTTCAAAACAGTGCACAAACGCTGCGAGACGGAATTCCCTCCTAATTCGGCCCTACGCTCCCAAAAGGGGAGGGGCCTGAAAGGACAGCTAAATGCACAGCAGTCCATTTTCATCAGGCCCAACAACAAGAGCAAGGCTGCTACCAGAGCATCTTATCGTGTCAGTCACGTTCTTGCGAAACACATGAAGTCTTTCAAAGACGGCGAAGTTGTGAAAGAAGCATTCCTGGAGGCTGCGACGCGCTTTTGTGGGACAGTAAAAATAACAGCAGCATTTCAACAGGTTTTTGATATAATAAAAACTCAATTTAAATACCGTTATTAATCTGCTGTAAGTTTTAGTTTGTTTGAATTTATTCATGATAATTATTGTACAAAATGGTATAAGAATGCAAACATTAAGATCTGTTCTGTTTAAATTGATTATAGTCTATCAGTTCAGAAACTAGTGTTGCTTGCATCCTATTTTAAAGGCATTTCTTTTTATACTCTAATAAAATGCAACAAAAAAGGGTTTGATTCTATTAATGTTGTCTTTTTTATTGCACTGTTGCTGCAGCAGATTACTGTGTAGCTTCAGATCTGAGTTGTCTTATTAGTAAGCCTAATTTATACTTTTGTAGCAACACTATTTTTATATAATGGCAAAGAAAGGGTTCTTCAGAGTCTTTTCTTTTTTTCCTGTGTCATATGTGGCAGCACTGCCACAAGTTCCTCTTCAGAGAGGGTCTTCAGTACAGGTGGCAATATCGTCACCTGCCTGCGCTCATCTCTGAAACCAGACCATGTAAACAGCCTGGTATTTCTTGCAAAAAATCTTTAAGAGATGACATGAGCAGCCCTACCAGCATTTGCCATGGTGGCCAAAACATTTTTATTTGGTCTTAAATTGTAGTTCAACATTTATTTCCTGTTACTTCTGGACCATGACGGTTGGCCAGCCTTCAACGTTTAACTGAGTGGAATATGTTGAATATGTTTTACCAAAATGTTGGCTATATGTTAAGGAGTTTTCAGTAGGTTGTGACAGTGCACTGCAACATATTTGATTTCATTTATTTGGGTCTAATTTATTTTTATTTATCATATTAATATATGTTTAGTATGGTTTTGGAAGTGCGCTCCAACACATTTATTGATCTTGTTTATTGGTAAAATATTATTTGTTTTAAAGTTCAATAAATGGTCAATGAATAATCGTCAAAATAATCGTAATATCAATTATTGACCAAATAATCGTGATTATGATTTTTGCCATAATCGCACAGCCCTAGTTGCTATGCAACAACACTAACAGCTAGTGAACATATTAGACAGAGAGCGTTGATCCATTATCTGGCTCTTTATTCACATTCATGTGTTTGTTGCTGTTTATTGTGCAGCCACTGAAAAACTGTCCAGCATCAGTAGCATGGCTGACACCCTAACCCTGGAAGGTCACCAGTTCAAGTCCCGGCAAGACCAAGTGCTACCGAGGTGTCCCTGAGCAAGGCACCGTTCCCTACACTGCTCCCCGGGCGCTGTTCAAAATGTCAGCCCACTGCTCCTAACACTAGGATGGGTCAAATGCAGAGAAACAATTTCCCCACGGGGATTAATAAAGTATATCAAATCAAATCATGTCGTCGTTTAGGTGCTCTCTGGAGATAGGCACTGCTCAATCCACTCCTCCATAGTGAGACACCCCAGAGATCGAAGGCTAGTAAGGGATAATGTGCAGCGAGGCGGTCATTATGGGTAAAAGAACACCCGACAGGCAGATCAGAAATAGTTTGTTGTTACTCTTTGAACTACGTCGCAACGCCAAACGTTTTTGCGGATGTTTTTGATTACAGATTTGAAAACATCGTTGCTTGCTTTAAAAGTAGCACAGTTCATTATGTCAAACCTTGGGAAGTATCTAGATATCCCTGCCCTGATGCCAAAGGAACTGCACACTGAATATGTGTCGCTATTTGATGTCTATGTCTGGACCGCTGCGTAAAAAGGAGGGTTTCTGCCCAGTTACTTCTCCGCTGTTTTCTTGTCCCAGTTTGAAAAGCGAACTACATGCAGTTTGCTTTTCAGCCCAACTTTATACAGTTAAATCGACCGGACTTCTTTCTGCAGATGTGAGCATCCTTAACAACAGTCAATAAGTCCTTGCTGCACATTATCCCCTACATGTTTCCATCTTAAGCTTTGTTAGTTAGTTAGTTTGGTAACGGACATAATGTAACAGCTGTAACGGTTGTAGCTTTTCTCAGACGCGGAGGAATACTGACTTGTTGTGAAAAGTATCTACAATTCTACCCGTGATATACGCTTATTATATCACGGCTAAGAACCAATCAGATTGCTTGATTTGACTTGTCCGTTTTATAATGATATTTATATATATATATGTATATATATCAGGGTTTCCGCTAGGATTTTTTCTCGCCGGTCAAATGTCCGGGCAGAATTTATTTTACCGGATACATTTGAAACTTACCAGTCATATTTCAATAATAATAATAAGAGTTGTGTAGCAGAGTTTCCGTTAGCAGGTAATTACCGGACTATGAGCAGATATGCTGATGTTTAAAACTCAGTTCACAGGGCTCATTTTTATATTGCTTCAGTCTATAATCGTAACAGATCGAAAAAATTCAGATTCATTTTTCAATAAATGATTCCACAAACAACATAATTGTTACATTCAAACAAACTACTTGTAGTAGATGAAGTACATTATTCAAAAGTTTACATTCACTTTGAATAATCACACGGGAGAAACGGATGCTCTCTTTTCCCAACTCTCTCCCTCCCTCCCTCCCTCTCTCTCCTGACAGCCCGTCAGTTTCTCATGCAGCTCGCTAAACAGTGGGCGGGGCTTCAGGTGATTATGCAGAGCTGCGTGTCTCTGTCAGACTCAGCAGCTGATCTGATCTCTCTCTCGCGTCCGGTTACACTTCACTCGCGTTTATGTCCATATCGATCAGATCCAGCTCTCCTGATCGGCCTTTATAGAGAGCACCGATCAAACTATTAACAGTGAATATCGGCCGATAATGACCGGCTGATCTATCGGAGCATCCCTAATTATTACCAGACATTTTGACCGGCAGGTTTTGAATTTACCGGTTTTTAATACATTTTACCAGCTAAAAACCGGTAATTACCGGCTAACGGAAACCCTGATATATATATATATATATACTGTAATTCTTCCTGTGTCCCCAGTACGGATTCAACATGGTGATGTCTCACCCTCACGCCGTCAACGAAATCGCCCTCAGCCTCAACAACAGAAACCCCAGGTACACACACACACACACACACACACACACACACACACACACACACACACACACCAGGGATCCACTGCATAACTACTTTACTGTGTTCTGCTTATGTCTTTAGTGAATATATAAACGTTTTAACTGTCTGTCTCTCACCTGTCTCTCACCTGTCTCTCGTCGTCAGGACAAAGGCTCTGGTGTTGGAGTTGCTGGCTGCAGTTTGTTTGGTCAGAGGAGGACATGAGATCATCCTGTTGGCCTTCGACAACTTCAAAACTGTAAAGAAACCACACACACATAATAAATGTCTCGTGGGCTGGTTGGTTGGTTGGATGGATGGATGGATGTTTGGTCTGTTGGTCGGTTGGTCGGATGGTCGGATGGGATGGATGGATGGATGGATGGATGGATGGATGGATGGATGGATGGATGGATGGATGGATGGATGGATGGATGGATGGATGGATGGATGGATGGATGGATGGATGGATGGATGGATGGATGGATGGATGGATGGATGGATGATGGATGGATGGATGGATGGATGGATGGATGTGATGTTCGGTCGGTCGGATGGATGGATGGATGTTTGGTCTGTTGGTCTGTTGGTTGATGATTTATAAATCTATGTGTTGCAGGTGTGTTCAGAGTCAATGCGTTTTGAAAAGTTGATGGAACATTTTAAGAACGAAGACGACAACATCGACTTTCTGGTATGGAGAATTTAAACAGTTTGAACTTTGTTCAGGTAACTCCCACCCTTCATGTTGACCTGCAGGTCTCCTGGTGGTAAAAACATCATACTGTAATAACTGGTAGCTGAGGACAGTGTGTTAGATGATAATACTTTGAACATGACATGAACCGTGACGACCTCCTAACCTATCAAGCTCTCCTCTCCTCTTTCTCTGCTTCGATCTCTCAGGCAAAAAGCACTTTCTTTCAAGATAAGATCCAATCTTCCTATTCCAATCCTAAAAAACTATTTTCCATCTTCTCCACCCTCTTGGACCCTCCAAAAGCTCCTCCCCCCCTCCTCACTTCTGTCAAGCGACTTTGTTACCCACTTTGAAAAAAAGGTTAATGATATTCGCTCTTCTTTTTCTGACTCACCTTTACTCACCGCTGGGTCACCAGACCTTCCTTCCACCAACACACTAACCTCCTTTTCCCCTCTCTCTCCAAGTGAGGTTCTTACCCTCATTACCTCTGCCCGCCCTACCACCTGTCCTCTGGACCCTATCCCTTCAAACCTCCTTCAGACTATCGCTCCTGATATTCTACCGTTTCTCACCCATTTCATCAACACTTCTCTAACTTCTGGTCACTTTCCAAACAGTCTCAAGGAGGCAAGAGTAAACCCTCTCCTAAAGAAACCCACTCTCAACCCGTCTGATGTTATAAACTACAGGCCTGTCTCTCTCCTCCCGTTCCTGTCTAAATCACTTGAACGCGCTGTCTTTAAACAACTCTCCTGTTATCTCAATCAGAACAACCTTCTGGATCCGCACCAGTCTGGTTTCAAGGCAGGTCACTCCACAGAAACTGCTCTCATTGCTGTCACGGAGGAACTGCACACTGCCAAAACTGCATCCCTCTCCTCTGTCATCATCCTGTTGGACCTGTCTGCTGCATTCGACACGGTGAATCATCAGATCCTCCTTCGCACTCTCCAAAAACTTGGAGTTTCAGGCTCTGCACTTTCCCTCCTCACCTCATACCTGAAAGACCGTACCTACAGGGTGACTTGGAGAGGGTCTGAGTCCGACCCTTGTCAATTAACTACGGGGGTCCCTCAGGGCTCTGTTCTTGGTCCCCTCCTCTTCTCCTTGTACACAAACTCGCTCGGATCAGTCATTAGCCCGCATGGTTTTTCTTACCACTGCTACGCTGACGACACCCAATTAATTCTGTCCTTTCCCCGCTCAGAGACCCAGGTCGTCGCACGCATCTCTGCTTGTCTAGCTGACATCTCTCAGTGGATGTCTGCTCACCACCTCAAGCTCAACCTTGACAAGACTGAGCTGCTCTTCCTCCCGGGAAAAGATTGTCCAACTCTTGACCTGACAATCAACATCGGCACCTCAGTTGTTTCCCCGACTCAGACTGCAAGGAATCTGGGTGTGACCCTAGATAACAACCTGTCCTTCACTGCAAACATCGCTGCTACAACCCGCTGCTGCAGATACACGCTTTACAACATCAGGAAGATACGTCCCCAGCTGACTCAGAAAGCGACTCAGGTTCTGGTCCAGGCTCTCGTCATCTCACGCCTAGACTACTGCAACTCCCTCCTGGCTGGTCTACCTGCATGTGCCATCCGACCTCTGCAGCTCACCCAGAATGCAGCGGCTCGTCTGGTTTTCAACCTTCCTAAATTCTCCCACACCACTCCGCTCCTCCGCTCCCTTCACTGGCTTCCGGTAACTGCTAGAATCCACTTCAAGACACTGGTACTTGCTTACCGTGCTGCGAATGGATCTGGCCCTTCCTACATCCAGGACATGGTTAAACCGTACACCCCAGCGCGTGCACTACGCTCTGCATCAGCCAAACGACTCGTTGCGCCCTCGCTGCGAGGGGGACCCAAGTTCCCATCGGCGAAAACACGTGGGTTTGCAATCCTGGCTCCAAGATGGTGGAATGAGCTCCCCATTGACATCAGGACGGCAGATAGCTTGCACATCTTCCGGCGCAAACTGAAAACTCATCTCTTTCGACTCCACTTCGAGCGTTAGAACTATTAACGAAGCACTTTTATACTAATAAAGGACTGGATTACCTAAAGCCAGTTGAGTAGCACTTGAAATGTTTGGCTCTATGAAACCTGATATACTTATATGATTCTGTTTTCTTCAAGGTTGTGTCTTCCTGGTCGAATGTACTTATTGTAAGTCGCTTTGGACAAAAGCGTCAGCTAAATGCAATGTAATGTAATGTAATGTAACATTGGTTGCTAAGTAACAGTGTGTTGTTGTTGTTACCGGTCTCTCAGGTGGCCTGCATGCAGTTCATCAACATCGTGGTTCACTCGGTGGAGGATATGAACTTCAGAGTCCACCTGCAGTATGACTTCACCAAACTTAACCTGGACGAGCACCTGGAGGTAAACACATAACCCTCTGTCAGCCAATCACAGGCCTGTAAGACGTCCCATGACCCTATGTCAGCCAATCACACGCCTGTCTCTCTGCCCTAACCCAACCTGTCTCCCTGCACTAACCCCACCTGTCTCCCTCAGAGGCTGAAGCACACAGAGAGCGACCGGCTGCAGGTTCAGATTCAGGCGTACCTGGACAACGTGTTTGACGTTGGGACGCTGCTGGAAGACGCAGAGACCAAGACTGCTGCTCTGGAGAGGGTGGAGGAACTGGAGGAGAACCTGGGCACGGTGAGACAGATACCTGTCTATTCCCGTCTGTCTCTATGTGTCTCTTACCTGTCTTTCTGACCTGTCTGTCTCAATGTCCGTCTCTAAGATGTCTGCCCGGGTGCTGGACGTGGAGAACGAGGCGATGCTGAAGATCGTGGAACTGGAGAAGCAGCTGATGCAGACCAACAAGGAGCTGGACCAGATCCGGGTCAGAACCTTTAGAAAGATGTATCATGTTTAATAATCATTTCTATAAACTGTGGAGCTTTATAGAGAGATAACATGTGTATGACTGGTATGTCATACACATGTTATCCACACTCGAGCCAGTGTGGTTAACATGCTGTCTGTTAACCGTTAACATGCTGTCTGATAACCGTTAACTGTCTGTTAACCGTTAACATGCTGTCTGTTAACCGTTAACTGTCTGTTAACCGTTAACATGCTGTCTGTTAACCGTTAACTGTCTGTTAACCGTTAACATGCTGTCTGTTAACCGTTAACTGTCTGTTAACCGTTAACATACTGTCTGTTAACCGTTAACTGTCTGTTAACTGTTAACATACTATCTGTTAACCGTTAACATACTGTCTGTTAACCGTTAACATGCTGTCTGTTAACCCGTTAACATGCTGTCTGTTAACCGTTAACATACTGTCTGTTAACCGTTAACATGCTGTCTGTTAACCGTTAACTGTCTGTTAACCGTTAACATACTGTCTGTTAACCGTTAACATGCTGTCTGTTAACCGTTAACATACTGTCTGTTAACCGTTAACATGCTGTCTGTTAACCGTTAACATGCTGTCTGTTAACCGTTAACTGTCTGTGAACAGGACGTGTACGCCAGCAGTAACTCTCAGGTGCACACGCTGCGGCGGATCGTGCGGGAAAAGGACCAGACGATCCGGAGACAGAGTCGTTTGGAGCGCCAGGCTCAGGAGGCTCAGCAGGCCGGAGGACCAGGAGCTCCACAGCCCCCGAGAGGAGAGGGAGACGGGGGGGTGGGGGACTCTGCCTCCCCCTCACCTCCACCCTGTCCTAACCTGTCCCCAAGGTGAGAGGCTACCTGGAGGTCAATGGTTCTCTGAATCTATTTGTGGTTGTTCTCCTGAAATAAGGTCTGTGGTTAACACGAGCTGAAGAGTTGTTTTGTTCTACTGGTGGATTTAGAAATGGAGGTTGATAACAAGAGTCTAAATGAGCCGCCTTTAGCTGAGCGGTCCTGTGAGCTACTTTATTTGAATGTGATTTATGCAGTTTATCGCTCATAACCAACCAATGATTGATCTCCACAGTCCAGAGACCGTAGCGTATCACAGCATGGCTCCAGGGATGGGCGGAGCTACGGGGATGCTTGCCCCGCCCCCTCCCCCACCTCCTCCACCAATGCCAGGCACAGGTCGGTTTCACCTCCACCAATCAGAGCGCTGGATTGGTCTTCAATCATAAAGAGAAAGTAATCTTGTTTCCTGTTTAACTTTTCAGTTTCCAATGGGTCGTTTCCTGCTCCTCCTCCCCCCCCCTCCACCACCTCCTCCCCCCCCTCCCTGTCGGACTAGTGAACTTTCGTCCTGCCCCCCCCCCACCTCCCCCTTGCGCTCCCCCTCTCCCGGGCTCCGGACCCACTGTCATCTTTAACTCCGGACTCGCAGGTAAAAACACACATTTAGATATGTATGTATTGTGGGACAGATGTGTATATCATTTATATAAAAACATGTTTTCTATAACAGCTGGGGGGTTTAGAAATGTTTGTGTTTTATTTTTGTTGTTTTTCTCTCTTCTGCTGACAGAGGGTCCTCTCAAGTTATTCTGTATGTCTTCTACAATCTTTAAACATCTCTCACTTTTAACCTCTTTTATCTTATGGTTAACCTGAATACCTGCCTCTGCTCACCTGTCTCTCTGCTCACCTGTCCCTCTGCTCACCTGTCTCTCTGCTCACCTGTCCTTCTGCTCACCTGTTTCTCTGCTCACCTGTCCCTCTGCTCACCTGTTCTTCTGCTCACCTGTCACTCTGCTCACCTGTCTCTCTGCTCACCGTCCTTCTACTCACCTGTCCCCCTGCTCACCTGTCCCCCTGCTCACCTGTCCCTCTGCTCACCTGTCTCTCTGCTCACCTGTCCTTCTGCTCACCTGTTTCTCTGCTCACCTGTCCCTCTGCTCACCTGTTCTTCTGCTCACCTGTCACTCTGCTCACCTGTCCCCCTGCTCACCTGTCCCCCTGCTCACCTGTCCCCCTGCTCACCTGTCCCTCTGCTCACCTGTCTTTCTGCTCACCTGTCCCTCTGCTCACCTGTCTTTCTGCTCACCTGTCTCTCTGCTCACCGCTCACCTGTCTCTCTGCTCACCTGTCTCTCTGCTCACCTGTCTCACTGCTCACCTGTCCCTCTGCTCACCTGTCCCTCTGCTCACCTGTCCCTCTGCTCACCTGTCCTTCTGCTCACCTGTCCTTCTGCTCACCTGTCACTCTGCTCACCTGTCACTCTGCTCACCTCTCTCTCTGCTCACCTGTCCCTCTGCTCACCTGTCCCTCTGCTCACCTGTCCCTCTGCTCACCTCTCTCTCTGCTCACCTGTCTCTCTGCTCACCTCTCTCTCTGCTCACCTCTCTCTCTGCTCACCTGTCTCTCTGCTCACCTGTCTCTCTGCTCACCTCTCTCTCTGCTCACCTGTCTCTCTGCTCACCTGTCTCTCTGCTCACCTGTCTCTCTGTTCACCTGTCTCTCTGTTCACCTGTCTCTCTGCTCACCTGTCTCTCTGTTCACCTGTCTCTCTGCTCACCTGTCTCTCTGCTCACCTGTCTCTCTGCTCACCTGTCTCTCTGCTCACCTGTCTCTCTGCTCACCTGTCTGTCTGCTCACCTGTCTCTCTGCTCACCTGTCACTCTGCGTGCAGCGGTGAAGATAAAGAAGCCGATCCAGACCAAGTTCCGGATGCCGGTGTTGAACTGGGTGGCTCTGAAGCCGAGCCAGATCAACGGGACCGTCTTCAACGACATCGACGACGAGACCATCCTTGGGGTAACAGACTGACATTATAATACCTGTCTGTCTCTCTGTATGTCTCTCTGTACCTGACTGTCTCTCTGTACCTGTCCCTCTCTCAGGACATTAACGTGGAGGAGTTTGAGGAGCTGTTTAAGACGAAGGCTCAGGGTCCGGCGGTGGACTTGACTCTTTCCAGACAGAAACTTCCTCAGAAAGCTCCGTCCAAAGTTTCTCTGCTGGATGCCAACCGGTCTAAAAACTTGGCCATCACTCTGAGGAAGGCGGGTCAGGGGTCAGAGGTTATCTGTCGCGCCATCCACACGTAAGACAACAACAGCACGAAGTGAAATCTCTAGATTGCCGGATGAATGTTGGTTGGATGTCAGCTGGTTGTTTGCTGGATATTTGCTGAATGTTTGCTGGATGTTTGCTGGATATTTGCTGGATGTTGGCTGGATGTTGGCTGGATGTTGGCTGGATGTTGGCTGAATGTTGGCTGAATGTTGGCTGAATGTTGGCTGGATGTTGGCTGGATGTTGGCTGGATGTTTGCTGGATGTTTGCTGGATGTTTGCTGGATGTTTGCTGGATGTTGGCTGGATGTTGGCTGGATGTTGGCTGGATGTGGGATGTTGGCTGGATGTTGGCTGGATGTTGGCTGGATGTTGGCTGGATGTTGGCTGGATGTTTGCTGGATGTTTGCTGGATGTTTGCTGGATGTTTGCTGAATGTTGGCTGGATGTTGGCTGGATGTTGGCTGGATGTTTGCTGGATGTTTGCTGGATGTTTGCTGGATGTTTGCTGGATATTTGCTGGATGTTGGCTGAATGTTGGCTGGATGTTGGCTGGATGTTTGCTGGATGTCAGCTGGATGTCTGCTGGATATTTGCTGAATGTTGGCTGGATGTCAGCTGGATGTCGGCTGGATGTCGGTTGGATGTCGGCTGGATGTCGGCTGGATGTTGGCTGGATGTTTGCTGGATGTTGGCTGGATGTTGGCTGGATGTCGGTTGGATGTCAGCTGAATGTTGGCTGGATGTTGGCTGGATGTTGGCTGGATGTCGGTTGGATGTCAGCTGAATGTTGGCTGGATGTTTGCTGGATGTTGGCTGGATGTTGGCTGGATGTCGGTTGGATGTCAGCTGAATGTTGGCTGGATGTTGGCTGGATGTTGGCTGGATGTCGGTTGGATGTCAGCTGAATGTTGGCTGGATGTTGGCTGGATATTTGCTGAATGTTGGCTGGATGTCAGCTGGATGTTGGCTGGATGTTGGCTGAATGTTGGCTGGATGTTTGCTGGATGTTTGCTGGATGTTGGCTGAATGTTGGCTGGATGTCAGCTGGATGTCGGCTGGATGTCGGCTGGATGTCGGTTGGATGTTGGCTGGATGTCGGTTGGATGTCGGCTGGATGTTGGCTGGATGTTGGCTGGATGTTGGCTGGATGTCGGTTGGATGTCAGCTGAATGTTGGCTGGATGTTGGCTGGATGTTGGCTGGATGTTGGCTGGATGTCGGTTGGATGTCAGCTGAATGTCGGCTGGATGTTGGCTGGATGTTGGCTGGATGTCGGTTGGATGTCAGCTGAATGTTGGCTGGATGTTGGCTGGATGTTGGCTGGATGTCGGCTGGATGTTGGCTGGATGTCGGTTGGATGTCAGCTGAATGTTGGCTGGATGTTGGCTGGATGTTGGCTGGATGTCGGTTGGATGTCAGCTGAATGTTGGCTGGATGTTTGCTGGATATTGGCTGGATGTTGGTTGGATGTCAGCTGAATGTTGGCTGGATGTTGGCTGGATGTCAGCTGGATGTTTGCTGGATATTTGTTGGATGTTGGCTGGATGTTGGCTGGGACTTTGCTGAATGTTGGCTGAATGTTGGCTGGATGTTGGCTGGATGTTGGCTGGATGTTAGTTGGATGTCAGCTGGATGTTTGCTGGATATTTGCTGGATGTTGGCTGGATGTTAGTTGGATGTCAGCTGGATGTTTGCTGGATATTTGCTGGATGTTGGCTGGATGTTAGTTGGATGTCAGCTGGATGTTTGCTGGATATTTGCTGGATGTTGGCTGGATGTTGGCTAGATGTTAGTTGGATGTCAGCTGGATGTTTGCTGGATATTTGCTGAATGTTGGCTGAATGTTGGCTGGATGTTGGCTGGATGTTTGCTGGATGTTTGCTGGATATTTGCTGGATGTTGGCTGAATGTTGGCTGGATGTTGGCTGGATGTTTGCTGGATGTCAGCTGGATGTTTGCTGGATATTGGCTGGATGTTGGTTGGATGTCAGCTGAATGTTGGCTGGATGTTGGCTGGATGTCAGCTGGATGTTTGCTGGATATTTGTTGGATGTTGGCTGGATGTTGGCTGGGACTTTGCTGAATGTTGGCTGAATGTTGGCTGGATGTTGGCTGGATGTTAGTTGGATGTTAGTTGGATGTCAGCTGGATGTTTGCTGGATATTTGCTGGATGTTGGCTGGATGTTAGTTGGATGTCAGCTGGATGTTTGCTGGATATTTGCTGGATGTTGGCTGGATGTTAGTTGGATGTCAGCTGGATGTTTGCTGGATATTTGCTGGATGTTGGCTGGATGTTAGTTGGATGTCAGCTGGATGTTTGCTGGATATTTGCTGAATGTTGGCTGAATGTTGGCTGGATGTTGGCTGGATGTTTGCTGGATATTTGCTGGATGTTGGCTGAATGTTGGCTGGATGTTGGCTGGATGTTTGCTGGATGTCAGCTGGATGTTTGCTGGATATTTGCTGGATGTTGGCTGAATGTTGGCTGGATGTCGGCTGGATGTCGGTTGGATGTCGGCTGGATGTTGGCTGGATGTTTGCTGGATGTTGGCTGGATGTTTGCTGGATGTTGGCTGGATGTTGGCTGGATGTCGGTTGGATGTCAGCTGAATGTTGGCTGGATGTTGGCTGGATGTTGGCTGGATGTCGGTTGGATGTCAGCTGAATGTTGGCTGGATGTTTGCTGGATGTTGGCTGGATGTTGGCTGGATGTTGGCTGGATGTCGGTTGGATGTCAGCTGAATGTCGGCTGGATGTTGGCTGGATGTTGGCTGGATGTTGGCTGGATGTCGGTTGGATGTCGGCTGGATATTTGCTGAATGTTGGCTGGATGTCAGCTGGATGTTGGCTGGATGTTGGCTGGATGTTGGCTGAATGTTGGCTGGATGTTTGCTGGATGTTTGCTGGATGTTGGCTGAATGTTGGCTGGATGTTCAGCTGGATGTCGGCTGGATGTCAGGCTTGGATGTCTGGCTGGAATGTTGCTGAATGTCAGCTGGATGTCGGCTGGAATGTCGGCTGGATGTCGGCTTGGATGTCGGCTGGATGTCGGCTGGATGTCTGCTGGATGTTGGCTGGATTGTCGGTTGGATGTCAGCTGAATGTTGGCTGGATGTTGGCTGGATGTTGGATGATGTCGGTTGGATGTCAGCTGAATGTTGGCTGGATGTTTGCTGGATGTTGGCTGGATGTCGGCTGGATGTTGGCTGGATGTCGGTTGGATGTCAGCTGAATGTCGGCTGGATGTTGGCTGGATGTTGGCTGGATGTCGGCTGGATGTTGGCTGGATGTCGGCTGGATGTTGGCTGGATATTGGCTGGATGTTGGCTGGATGTCGGTTGGATGTCAGCTGAATGTTGGCTGGATGTTGGCTGGATATTGGCTGGATGTTGGTTGGATGTCAGCTGAATGTTGGCTGGATGTTGGCTGGATGTCAGCTGGATGTTTGCTGGATATTTGTTGGATGTTGGCTGGATGTGGCTGGACTTGCTGATGTTGGCTGGAATGTTGGCTGGATGTTGGGGATGTTAGTTGGATGTAGTGGATGTCAGCGGATGTTTGCGGATATTTGCTGGATGTTGGCTGGATTGTTAGTTGGATGTCAGCTGGATGTTTGCTGGATATTTGCTGGATGTTGGCTGGATGTTAGTTGGATGTCAGCTGGATGTTTGCTGGATATTGCTGGATGTTGGCTGGATGTTAGTTGGATGTCAGCTGGATGTTTGCTGGATATTTGCTGGATGTTGGCTGGATGTTAGTTGGATGTCAGCTGGATGTTGGCTGGATGTTGGCTGGATGTCGGCTGGCTGTCAGCTGGATGTTGTCTGAATGTCTGCTGGATGTTGGCTGACTGTTGGGTGGATGTGATTGTCGGCTGTCTGATAGCTGGATGTTGGCTGGATGTTTGAACTGTCGGCTGACTGCAGTCCCTCTGTATGTCCTCAGGTTCGACCTCCGGACGGTGAGAGTGGACTTCGTTGAATGCCTGATGCGTTTCCTGCCCACGGAGGCCGAGGTGAAGCTGCTCCGTCAGTACGAGAAAGACAGAAAACCTCTGGAGGCTCTGAGCGATGAAGACAGGTTCATGATGCAGTTTAGCCGCATCGAGAGGCTCAACCAACGCATGACCATCCTCACCTTCATGGGCAACTTCAGCGAAAATCTGCAGATGCTGACGCCGGTGAGAGCTTACAGACAAACAGGTTACAGACAGAAAGGTTACAGACAGACAGGTTACAGACAGACAGGTTACAGTGAGACAGACAGGTGACAGACAGACAGGTGACAGACGGACAGGTTACAGACAGGTGATAGACAGACAGGTGACAGACAGACAGGTTACAGACGGACAGGTTACAGACAGGTGATAGACAGACAGGTTACAGACGGACAGGTGACAGACAGACAGGTTACAGACGGACAGGTTACAGACAGGTGACAGACAGACAGACAGGTGACAGACAGACAGGTGATAGACAGACAGGTGACAGACGGACAGGTGACAGACAGGTAGAAAGGTAGAAAGACAGCTAAACTGATCTCTCTCTCTCTCTTGTGTTTCCTCAGCAACTCCACGCCATCATCGCTGCTTCAGTTTCTATCAAATCCTCTCAGAAGCTCAAGAAGATCCTGGAGGTCAGTCTGAGTTTATAGAGATACACACTTTACACTGCGTTAAATACACAGTGTGTGGTATACTGCCGGTGTGTGTATTCAATATGTCATATAATGAATGTGTGCGTATACAATCTGTTTTATAATGAATGTGTCTGTAGATCATCTTGGCTCTGGGGAACTATATGAATAGCAGCAAGAGAGGAGCTGTTTACGGATTCAAACTGCAGAGCTTAGACCTGGTAACACACACACACACACACAAACACACACACACACACACACACACACATAGTGTATCTGAGTGTTATGTGTGTGTGTTCCAGCTGCTTGAGACCAAGTCCACAGACAGGAAGCAGACGCTGCTGCATTACATCGCCAACGTGGTGCGAGAGAAATACCCGACGAAGAGCCTGTTCTACAACGAGCTGCACTACGTAGACAAGGCTGCTGCAGGTGAGCCAATCAGAGCGCTGCTACACACATACACTTGTCTATCTGTCAGCCAATCAGACAGTGCTATACACCTGTCAGTCTCACCTGTCTCACCCTGTGTGTCTCACCTGTCCTCAGTGAGTCTGGAGAACGTTCTGCTGGACGTGAAGGAGCTGCAGCGCGGCATGGATTACAGCTGGAGAGAATTCAGCGTCTCGCACAACGCAATCCTGAAAGATTTCATCAGCCGCCACGAAGCACGACTCAGCAAACTGACCGAGGAAGCACACATCGCACAGGTACACACACACACACACACACACACAGAGGAAGCACGACTCAGCAAACTGACCGAGGAAGCACACATCGCACAGGTACACACACACACACTGACAGTGTGTTTCTCTCAGGATGCGTTTGAAGACGCAGTGAAATTCTTCGGAGAAAGTTCGAAGACGATGCCTCCGTCCGTCTTCTTCCCCATCTTCGTCCGATTCATCAAAGCGTACCGGGTGAGCTTCTTTATCATCATCTTCGTCTGGATTTTGCCTCCTGATGTTTTTAATCTTTATGTGGGAGCTGGGTCTAATCTGTGTGTGTGTGTGTGTGTGTGACTGACTGTCAGCTGGCCGAGGAGGAGAACGATCAGAGGAGGCGTCAGGAACAGATGCTTCTGGAGAAACTGGAGCAGGAGGAGCAGCAGGAGGAGGAGAGCACCAAGGTCTGAGGATACTAATATTTTATTTTTATTTATTTATTTATCCTTTATTTATCCAGGAATGTCCCATTGAGATACAAGATCTCTTCTTCCAGGGAGTCCTGACCAACACGGCACACAACAAGTTTCAACATAAAACAAGGGCATTAAACAAAAAACATACAATTCAAATATAAATACAGAAGGCCATTTGTGCAGTGGCAAGAAGCATAATCACATCAGCAATAGCATCAGGTAAAACAGTTACATGTTTCATGAAGGGCTAATCGTAGCATACCTTTAAAAGCATTTACAGTAGGAAGTGCCTCTCGAGAAAGTTTTACTTGCAGCGTATTCCATAAAAAGGGAGCATAGTGGGAGAATGCAGCTTTACCAAGCTCTGACTGCATCAAAGGAACATTTAAAAGCATCCCATTTGCTGCTCGTCTGGTATTAAAAAAGCAAGTATAAAAGGACAGAAGTCTGGAGATATATAAGGGCAGCTTACCTAGCAATGACTTAAGGATAAAAATCAACATGTGTGATTGTCTTCTTTGGTACAGAGAGGACCATCCTAGGGACTGATACAAAGTGCAGTGGTGGGTGCGAGAGCCTGCACCCGTTACAAAACGTATAGCAGTATGGTACGCAGAATCCAGCTTTTTAAGCAGGGAGGAAGGAGCATGCATATAGATCACATCGCCATAGTCTAATACAGACAGAAAGGAACTCTGCACAATTCTCTTCCTGGCTTCAGACGGGAAACATTTCTTTAAACGGAAGAAAAAGCCCAGTTTAGGTCTAAGTTTTCTCAGTAGGTTCCCAATATGAACATCAAAGGCCATCTTTTCATCAATCCATATGCCCAGATATTTGTAGGATGCTACTTTGTCAAGGCATGTCCCTTCCAGTGTCAGAATCGGAGGGACAGCTGTATTAGCTCGAGAGCGAGAGAAGGTCATGTACTTGGTCTTTTTTGCATTAAGGACCAGTCTTAGCCTTAGCAAGGAGTGTTGCAGTGTATTAAAAGCATCCTGTAGAAGCTCTATGGCCTGGGTTAAAGAGGAAGCCACTGTGTAAACAACTGTATCATCGGCGTATAAATGAAACCGTGCTGGGTTTATCCCATTTCCTAGTTCATTTATAAAGATGGAGAATAAGACAGGGGCCAAAATAGAACCTTGTGGAACACCTTTGTTTACAGTAAGAGCAGCTGAGGTATAATCTTCTACTGAGACACACTGAGTTCTTTCAGATAGATAGTTTTTAAACCAGCTCAAAGCCATTTTGCCAAGACCTATGCAGCCAAGCCTCTGCAGTAGCAATGCATGATCCACAGAATCAAAAGCTTTAGACAGATCAACAAACAATGCTGCACAGTGTTTTTTCTTGTCTAGTGCTTCAATTATGTCATTTGAGACTAGCATAGCCGCTGAAGTAGTAGCTATGGCCTGATCTGAAGCCTGACTGAGACTCGTTAAGAATATTATGGTCAGTTAGAAACTTTTTCAGTTGTTCGTTTACAAGAGATTCAAAGACTTTGGCCATTACAGACAGTCTGGAAATAGGGCGATAATTATTTAGGTCAGAGGGGTCTCCGCCCTTTAACAAGGGGAGAACCATGGCCGACTTCCAGGAGCTAGGCAATTCACCAGCACAAAGACTGAGATTCAAAATAGAGGTTATGGGTTCTGCAATCAGACCTGCAGCAACTTTGAAGAAGAACGGCTCTATCTTGTCTGGGCCTGAAGATTTATTTACATCTAGGCTCATTAAAGCTTTGTGAACCTGAGAGGTCAAGATGGGGGCAAAGGTGAACAGTTGATCAGGGTCAAGTGGCGGAGGACCTGGCTCTCCTTCTGCAGCAATCATCCCTGAGTTGCTAGAATCAAAGATTGAGCCAGCAGAAATAAAATAATTATTAAAGCTGTCTGCAATATCCATTTTGCCCTTGATTTCACTCTGATTTACCCTTAAGAGATCAGGAAGGCTGTTTGGAGTGATAGAACCTGAGGAGGATTTAACAAGTTTCCAAAACTTTGCAGGGTTATTCAAGTTGTCATGTATTGCATTAAGATAGTAGGCACATTTAGAGTCTTTAATCAGCTTAGTGCATTTGTTTCTTAATGTCCTATACAGATTCCAATCTAATGGAATATTCGATTTCTTTGCTTTAGCCCAGGCAGTGTCTCTCTGTCGAATGAGAGAGGATATAGAATCATTAAACCAGGGGTTGTCTTTACCGCTTATCCTAGATGTCCTAAAAGGAGCATGCTTGTCACATATAGCCAAGAAGGTGGATTTAAAATAATTCCATGCTAACTCAACATCGGTCATAAGTGAAACAATGTGTAAATCACTATTAAAAACATCATGTAGAAACGCCTGCTCATCGAAATGTTTGAATCGCCTCTTGTGAATGAGACGTGGCTTTCCTTTAGGGATCTTACAGGTTCTCACACAAGCAATTGCGCAGTGGTCGCTTATATCATTACAAAACGTGCCTACTGCGGAGAAACGGTGAGGTGCGTTTGTAAGAATAACATCAATCAAAGTGGACTTCTCTAAATCTTTTTGGTTTAACCGAGTTGGCGAGTTAACTAGTTGCACCAAACAGAGAGAGTCATAAGTGTCCTTGAAAGAGTTTTGTAAATCCGTTTGCCAGTCCCAGTTTAGGTCTCCGAGTAAAACCATCTCGGATTTAGTCCAGTTATGGAGAAGATTGGAGAGTATATTCGTGGCTTCGCTTGAGGCAGCGGGCGGGCGGTAGCATCCGACCACTATAATGTCTGAACCACTTGGGAGCGATAGTTTAATTACAGAGAGTTCAAAGCATTTTGGTTTTGTTAGGGATTCGATGCAGGTGCAGTCTAAATGGTTTTTAACATAAATCGCAACCCCGCCCCCTTTTCCCACACGGTCTGTTCTAAAGACATTGTAATCTTTTATATTTATCATATCATTTGTAATCGACTTTTTGAGCCACGTCTCAGAAAGGACAATGATATCAGAGTCAGTCGAATCGGCCCATATTCTGATGGAGTCCATCTTATTAATCATGCTGCGAACATTAAGGTGAAAAAGACGTAATCCGTCTTTCGTTCTAAACTCCTCTGGCGTTTGCAGCTGAGACAGTTCTGGGCCTGGATTCGGTTTCACGTTACCCGACATCAGGAGTAGGAGAATTAGAAGCCAGGTCCTCCTCGCTGGGCTGGTCGGCTTGCCGTCGCAAGTGCGCGCTGCATAGGGGGAAAGTCTCCCATTTCCCTGGGCCCATAGACAGCGTAGTCCTCGCGGCAGAACCCCGGGTAGATGAGACGTCCATGAGAGAAGGTCCTCCGCGAGCAGCGGGGTTGTCATCATGGCAAAAACTCTTACTGGATCCGGGGAAGCCATGGTGCCTGGGGTAGGCACCATGGCTTCCCCGGATCCAGTAAGAGTTTTTGCCATGATATATACTGTATATTAACTACTGGTATTGTTTATTGTTGTTATTTATTACTTACATGTTCTCCCCAGTCCCCCTCCCACCGGGGGAAGCGCCAGCAGCTGGAGCTTCTCTCTGAACTCCGACGAAAACAAGGGAAGGAAACGCGGCACGTTTATGAAGGGAAGGACGGAGCCATCGAGGACATCATCACAGGTACTCATATACTACTATACTGCTCTCTGATTGGCTGGTATCTGTCTGCTCTCTGACTGGCTGGTATCTGTCTGCTCTCTGATTGGCTGCAGCTCTGAAGACCGTCCCCTTCACTGCTCGTTCGGCCAAACGCAGCTCTCGCTTCTTCTGTGACGCGGCTCACTCCGAGGAGCACTACTGATGACGACACACAGGAGGAACCGGAGGAGAACTGGAGAACCGGAGTAAAGTGAAGGACATGGTCTGTTTGATGATCAGCTGACACGAGTGGCGGCTGGTTCTCATAGTTCTGTCGTCGCGGCTCGGAAGAGAGGGAACAGTTTTTGTTTTGGTGTTTCTTTACGCACACATTAAACCATGAATTAAGTCATGGAAACGCACCTTCAGTCTGACGGGTTCTCCGCTGGACCTTCAGTCTGACGGGTTCTCCGCTGCACCTTCAGTCTGACGGGTTCTCCGCTGCACCTTCAGTCTGACGGGTTCTCCGCTGCACCTTCAGTCTGACGGGTTCTCCGCTGGACCTTCAGTCTGACGGGTTCTCCGCTGGACCTTCAGTCTGACGGGTTCTCCGCTGGACCTTCAGTCTGACGGGTTCTCCGCTGGACCTTCAGTCTGACGGGTTCTCCGCTGCACCTTCAGTCTGACGGGTTCTCCGCTGGCACCTTCAGTCTGACGGGTTCTCCGCTGCACCTTCAGTCTGACGGGTTCTCCGCTGGACCTTCAGTCTGACGGGTTCTCCGCTGGACCTTCAGTCTGACGGGTTCTCCGCTGGACCTTCAGTCTGACGGGTTCTCCGCTGGACCTTCAGTCTGACGGGTTCTCCGCTGCACCTTCAGTCTGACGGGTTCTCCGCTGCACCTTCAGTCTGACGGGTTCTCCGCTGGACCTTTCAGTCTGACGGGTTCTCTGCTGGACACGCCCACTAATCGATGGGACTAATCAGCACTTTGTTTTCTACATTTCTGCGACGTCGTGTTTATATGTTGTGATCGGTCAGAACCACACCAACCTGAAATCAGAGTTCTGCAGGTTCTGTGGTTCTTAAAGATCTGTGGTTCTAGAGTTCTGCAGGTTCTGTGGTTCTGAAGGATCTGTGATTCTGGAGTTCTGCAGGTTCTGTGGTTCTATGTTCCTGTCTGTATCTGTACAGGGTTCTGCGGTTCTGTTTGACGAGCCTTGCAACAGCGGGGGGGGGGAACATGTTATCTGTGAAAAACACCAGTGTGACTGCTGTGTGAACCTGTTAGCTCGAAGCGTAGCCACACCATGTAAAACACGTCTGTTAGCATGGCTGTTAGCACGGCTGTTAGCACGATGACGCTAACGATCATATATATTCTCACAGTATCATCATGTTAACTAAAATAAATATTCAGAGGAACAGGAAGTGACAGGTTCACACAGCAAGGACTTTAATAACAAAGACATTAGGAAATAACTACGTATTTAAAACTGTAAATATTAAAACAGCAAATATTAATCATAAGATAAAGTCTGAGAATGAAAACCGGATCTGATCCGTCAGGAAAACACATCCTGATAAATGTGAATAAAGGACTTTTGTTTCTGAATAAATTAAAAGGGGTATTTGTGTAGCCCCCCCCCCCCCCATAAAGACTTACAGCACAAAGTTTTCTACGTGTACAGAAACATTTTCTAGGCGTGTTGTTGTTGTTGTGTTGTTCTGCACTTTGTGTCAATAAACGCACCGTGTCTACGAGACGCTCTCTTTATTTCAAACTGATTTATCATTGGTGTGGTTACATTCACTACATTACCCATAATCCTCAGCTGCAGATCATTATCTTCATTATTATACAAAGTTACATAAAATAGGTATAATTTCTCCAGTCTGATTGGCTCTCACAGTGTCCACCTCTCTGATTGGCTGTCACAGTGTCCTCCTCTCTGATTGGCTGCCTCCGTATATAGATCACAGTTTATCATAATGTGATAAGAGTCAATGATTTGAGACAGCTGAGGTTTATCCAGAGAACGAGACTGAGGGACGACCTTTGACCCCAAGTCCTGAGACCTACACACACACACACACACACACACACTTTAGTATGGACATGGCAGCATCATGCTCGTTATATAATTGTATTTTTTTTGATAAGCATTATTTTTGGAGCCGCTCACCCTGAAGACCCCCCCGGCCAGCGGCTGCTTCCTCCGCTCTGATTGGTCCAGGCCAAGACTGGCTGAGGTCACGTAAAGGTCGGAGAAGTCCGGACCCCCAAAACAACAGGAAGTGGTCTTTGTCACCGGCAGAGAAACAGTCTGCAGACACACACCTGAAACAACAACAACAACTACACCTGAGACTACAGGTACACCTGAGAGAACGCACAGGTACACTGAGGTTCTGACTGACCGGTTTCGGGGTCGATGTTGAGCACTCGCCCTCCGTTATAAATCGCCACCCAGAGACGACCGTCCGCGTCCACCGTCATCCCGTCAGGAAGCCCCTCCCCCTCGGCCAGGTGGTACACAACACGCCGGTTACCTGGGCAACACAGGTATACAGATTAAGATTGTGTACCACATTCAAATATATTTACTGCAGTACAAGCACAAGATGATAAATGAATATTTACTGCAGTATAAGTACATATTTACAGCAGTATAAGTACATGTTTATTGCAGTATGAGTACACGATAATAAATACTCAGATACCGAGACGTCCAGAGTCTGAGTCGTAGTCGAAAGCGTCGACGGTCAGAGACAAACTGTCGATGTAAAAAAACGTTTTCTGATCCAGAGACCAGTCCATCCCGTTAGAGATGTCCACCTGAGAGACAGACAGGTACAGACAGGTAGAGACAGGTACAGAGAGACAGGTACAGAGAGACAAGTACAGACAGACAGGTACAGAGAGACAAGTACAGACAGACAGGTACAGACAGACAGGTACAGAGAGACAGGTACAGAGACACAAGTACAGAGAGACAGGTACAGAGAGACAGGTACAGAGAGACAGGTACAGAGACTACAAGTACAGACAGAACAGACAAGTACAGAGACAGACAGGTACAGACAGACAGGTACAGACAGACAAGTACAGACAGACAAGTACAGACAGACAGGTACAGACAGACAGGTACAGACAGACAGGTACAGAGAGACAAGTACAGACAGATAGACAGACAGGTACAGACAGACAAGTACAGACAGACAAGTACAGACAGACAAGTACAGACATACAAGTACAGACACACAGGGACAGAGAGACAAGTACAGACAGACAGGTACAGAGAGACAAGTACAGACAGACAGGTACAGACACACAGGGACAGAGAGACAAGTACAGACAGACAGGTACAGACAGACAGGTACAGACAGACAAGTACAGACACACAGGGACAGAGAGACAAGTACAGACCGACAAGTACAGAGAGACAGGGACAGAGAGACAGGTGAAGAGAGGTCAGAGGTCAATAGCAGAAGTGTGTTAACAAGTGATTAAAGGTGAGGTCACCTGTGTCAGGTGTTTGGTCACAGAGAGGTCAGAGGTCACAGAGAATAGAGACCCTTGTTGTCTCTGAACCTCCGCCGGTCGCTTCTCCCTCCCCATTGTACCTGAGACACACAACTGAACTGTTACTAGAACATAGTTAGCAGAACAGAGTTAGCCTATCATAGTTAGCAGAACATAGTTAGCCTATCATAGTTAGCCTAACATAGTTAGCAGAACATAGTTAGCCTAACATAGTTAGCAGAACAGAGTTAGCCTATCATAGTTAGCAGAACAGAGTTAGCAGAACAGAGTTAGCAGAACATAGTTAGCAGAACATAGTTAGCAGAACAGAGTTAGCAGAACAGAGTTAGCCTATCATAGTTAGCAGAACAGAGTTAGCAGAACAGAGTTAGCAGAACATAGTTAGCAGAACATAGTTAGCAGAACATAGTTAGCAGAACAGAGTTTAGCAGAACAGAGTTAGCAGAACAGAGTTAGCAGAACAGAGTTAGCAGCAGAAACAGATTAGCAGAACAGAGTTAGCAGAAACAGAGTTAGCAGAACAGAGTTAGCAGAACAGAGTTAGCAGAACAGAGTTAGCAGAACATAGTTAGACAGAACAGAGTTGCAGAACAGAGTTAGCAGAACAGAGTTAGCAGAACAGAGTTAGCAGAACATAGTTAGGCAGAACAGAGGTTAGCAGAACAGAGTTAGCAGAACATAGTTAGCAGAACAGAGTTAGGCAGAACAGAGTTAGCCAGAACAGAGGTTAGCAGAACAGAGTTAGCAGAACAGAGTTAGCAGAACAGAGTTAGCAGAACAGAGTTAGCAGAACGAGTTAGGCAGAACAGAGTTAGCAGAACAGAGTTAGCAGAACAGAGTTAGCAGAACAGAGTTAGCAGAACAAGTTAGCATAACAGAGTTAGCTACATAGTTAGCAGAACATAGTTAGCAGAACAGAGTTAGCAGAACATAGTTAGCAGAACATAGTTAGCAGAACATAGTTAGCAGAACAGAGTTAGCAGAACAGAGTTAGCAGAACAGAGTTAGCAGAACAGAGTTAGCAGAACAGAGTTAGCAGAACAGAGTTAGGCAGAACAGAGTTAGCAGAACAGAGTTAGCAGAACAGAGTTAGCAGAACATAGCATATCAGGTTAGCAGAACAGAGTTAGCAGAACAGAGTTAGCAGAACTAGTTAGCAGAACAGAGTTAGCAGAACAGAGTAGCAGAACAGAGTTAGCAGAACAGAGTTAGCAGAACCGAGTTAGCAGAACATAGTTAGCAGAACAGAGTTAGCAGAACAGAGTTAGCCAGAACAGAGTTAGCAGAACAGAGTAGCGAACCTAGTTAGCAGAATAGTTAGCAGAACATAGTTAGCAGAACAGAGTTAGCAGAACAGAGTTAGCAGAACAGAGTTAGCAGAACATAGTTAGCAGAACATAGTTAGCAGAACAGAGTTAGCAGAACAGAGTTAGCAGAACATAGTTAGCAGAACAGAGTTAGCAGAACAGAGTTAGCAGAACAGAGTTAGCAGAACAGAGTTAGCAGAACATAGTTAGCAGACATAGTTAGCAGAACATAGTTTAGCAGAACAGAGTTAGCAGAACAGAGTTAGCAGAAACAGAGTTAGCAGAACAGAAGTTAGCAGAACATAGTTAGCAGAACATAGTTATGCAGAACAGAGTTAGCAGAACAGAGTTAGCAGACAGAGTTCGCAGAACAGAGTTAGCAGAACAGAGCAGAACATAGTTAGCAGAACATAGTTAGCAGAACAGAGTTAGCAGAACAGAGTTAGCCAGAACATAGTTAGCAGAACAGAGTAGCAGAACATAGTTAGCAGACAGAGTTAGCAGAACAGAGTTAGCAGAACATAGTTAGCAGAACAGAGTTAGCAGAACATAGTTAGCAGAACAGAGTTAGCAGAACAGAGTTAGCAGAACAGAGTTAGCAGAACAGAGTTAGCAGAACATAGTTAGCAGAACAGAGTTAGCAGAACAGAGTTAGCAGAACAGAGTTAGCAGAACAGAGTTAGCAGAACAGAGTTAGCAGAACAGAGTTAGCAGAACAGAGTTAGCAGAACATAGTTAGCAGAACAGAGTTAGCAGAACAGAGTTAGCAGAACAGAGTTAGCAGAACATAGTTAGCAGAACAGAGTTAGCAGAACAGAGTTAGCAGAACATAGTTAGCAGAACAGAGTTAGCAGAACAGAGTTAGCAGAACAGAGTTAGCAGAACAGAGTTAGCAGAACAGACAGAGTTAGCAGAACATAGTTAGCAGAACCAGAGTTAGCAGAACAGAGTTAGCAGAACATAGTTAGCAGAACAGAGTTAGCAGAACATAGTTAGCAGAACAGAGTTAGCAGAACAGAGTTAGCAGAACATAGTTAGCAGAACATAGTTAGCAGAACAGAGTTAGCAGAACAGAGTTAGCAGAACAGAGTTAGCAGAACAGAGTTAGCCTAACAGAGTTAGCAGAACATAGTTAGCAGAACATAGTTAGCAGAACAGAGTTAGCAGAACAGAGTTAGCCTAACAGAGTTAGCATAACAGAGTTAGCCTAACAGAGTTAGCAGAACAGAGTTAGCAGAACAGAGTTAGCAGAACAGAGTTAGCCTAACAGAGTTAGCAGAACATAGTTAGCAGAACAGAGTTAGCAGAACAGAGTTAGCAGAACAGAGTTAGCAGAACAGAGTTAGCCTAACAGAGTTAGCAGAACATAGTTAGCAGAACAGAGTTAGCAGAACAGAGTTAGCAGAACAGAGTTAGCAGAACAGAGTTAGCCTAACAGAGTTAGCAGAACAGAGTTAGCCTAACAGAGTTAGCAGAACATAGTTAGCAGAACAGAGTTAGCAGAACAGAGTTAGCCTAACAGAGTTAGCAGAACAGAGTTAGCAGAACATAGTTAGCAGAACATAGTTAGCAGAACATAGTTAGCAGAACAGAGTTAGCAGAACATAGTTAGCCTATCATAGTTAGCAGAACATAGTTAGCAGAACAGAGTTAGCAGAACAGAGTTAGCAGAACAGAGTTAGCAGAACAGAGTTAGCCTAACATTGCAGGTTGCACCCACCTGCCAGCAGGCGTCCTCTCGGATCCACCTTCCCATCGTTCAGACGGTTGTTCGGTTTGTCCTCGTCCAGCTCCACCAGTGATGTCATCATCTGAGTCGACCATTCAACAGCCACGATGCTGCGACCCATGCCTGCCAGGTAACCCCCAGAGACACGAGGAACCACGAAGCTCACGAAGTCCGCTGAGGAGAACCATCAATATAATCTGTGTGAATATTATTATAATAAAGAATCACCTCTGAGTGATTGCTGCATGCCGATTGGCTCACCTGTCTCCACAGACTCGCTCTGATTGGTCGTTGGCCTCCAGCGGTGGATTTTCTGCCCGGCGATATCGACAAACATCAGCGTCTGTTGGGACTCCTCCCACAGCGGCCCTTCTCCAATCAGAGCGCCCACCTTTATCACGCACTCTACTTTAACCGATGACATCATCAGACTGGACCAATCACAGAAGAGAACCATGGAAAAAACAGGAAAACAAAAACTTTTACAAAATGAAAGCACAGTGGAGTTTTCATATTATATTTTAAAATTCATGTTACAGCTGTAAATAAACAAGTACTGCATTATATAAAGGGGGGGGGGGGGGTGAATATTTCTCCCTGGCAACACTTTCTGGATCAGAGCTTCAAAATGAAATGCTAAATGGTCATTTAAAGAGTCACTGAAGAGACTTTAGACTGGGTCATTTAAAGAGTCACTAAAAAGACTTTAAACTGGGTAATTTAAAGAGTCACTAAAGACACTTTAGACTGGGTCATTTAAAGAGTCACTAAAGAGACTTTAAACTGGGTCATTTAAAGAGTCACTAAAGAGACTTTAGACTGAGTCATTTAAAGAGTCACTAAAGAGACTTTAGACTGGGTCATTTAAAGAGTCACTAAAGAGACTTTAAACTGGGTCATTTAAAGAGTCACTAAAGAGACTTTAGACTGAGTCATTTAAAGAGTCACTAAAGAGACTTTAGACTGGGTCATTTAAAGAGTCACTAAAGAGACTTTAGACTGGGTCATATAAAGAGTCACTAAAGAGACTTTAAACTGGGTCATTTAAAGAGTCACTGAAGAGACTTTAAACTGAGTCATTTAAAGAGTCACTAAAGAGACTCAGCACTTCAATACCACACTCTTTCTGCTGCTGCCTTGCTCATGGGCTCTTTACTCACTGCTGGAGTAAAACTACCCCGTTTCTGAGAGGAAAGACATTCGGCTCATATTTAACAAGTTTTGGTGTCAGTCACATGACTTCCACACACACACACACACACACACACACACACTTTAAACTGGGTCATTTAAAGAGTCACTAAAGACACTTTAGACTGGGTCATTTAAAGAGTCACTAAAGAGACTTTAAACTGGGTCATTTAAAGAGTCACTAAAGACACTTTAGACTGGGTCATTTAGAGTCACTAAAGAGACTTTAAACTGGGTCATTTAAAGAGTCACTAAAGAGACTTTAAACTGGGTCATTTAACACACACACACACACACACAGCTGCTGCAGGAACACAAACTGTACACACACTCACCTGCTGCAGGAACCCACACTTTGAACAAACTCCCGAATGTACTTTTAGCTCCGACCCCCACAACCAGCTGACTCGCATGAACACGCCGCTGACCAGACAGGAAGTACCTCCCCACCAAAATAAAAGCTCTCCATGCTAGACAGCAGGGATCACCAACTACATTTGTCCAAGGGCCAAAATGTATCCAATAGACACTACTGTTCTGTAATCAGTTACTAAATACTGAATACATGGCTCTGAAAGTAATCAGAATACAGTTACAGTTACGTGTCTTAAACGTTGGAATCGGGTCTACTTTAACGTATTCAGATTACTTTTAGAATACTTTTGGAATACTTTCTTTTTCCATAACAGATGGGTATGTTTTGGGGAACAGGAGACACGTATTTTACTGTTTTAATGGCTTATCAAGAACTCAAACACAACATCTTGGTGTCATTCTGGACAGCTCTCTCTCATCTGCTCCCACATACAAAACATCACCCAGACTGCATTCTTTGTACTGTCTTAAAACCTTTCCTTAGAATATGTTATGAATTGTAAGGTGTCCTTGGGTGCTTTGAAAGGCGCCCCTAAATAGAATGAATTATCATTATTATTTATTATCTGAAACGATGTTATAACTTTTAAAACTGTTTCCAGTCACTTGCCCCATGCCTTCAGCAGCAGCAGGCCATTCACTTTGATTTCATCCCATTATGAAATGTCATAATTTCGACAATAAAGAAATGCTACATAAACGTTATCTTGCACATTTTATCTAACCATCTCCGTTTCTAACTTTCAATATATTTAAAAGAGATCTCTCTCTCTCACCTGCGTGCGGGGGCACACATTATTCATTCTTGTTCCAACATGTGTAGTTAACATATTAAACTAGGGCTGTGCAATTCATCGTATTTTAATCGCGATTACGATTTTGGCGTGCAACGATTACGAAAACAACGTAATCGAAATAAAACGATTATTATTTTTATTTATTTTTTTAAAAATGTAAATATTATTTTCTTTTTTTTATTCTTTTTTCAGTTGAATTATACTCAAAGTTCAGGGTAATCAACTCTTAAAAACATACGGTTAACTTTTTTTTTTTCAATAAATGGATGTTTTCAAAGTAAATGGATAATCGTTTTTAATAATCATGATATCAATTATTGACCAAAATAATCGTGATAATGATTTTTGCCATAATCGCACAGCCCTATATTAAACTATTCTCACATTTTACTTTTTGATAATTAACGTTACTTTTCAATTTTTAGGTTTTATAATGAAGAACCAAAAAAGGCAGATAGGTGATTAAAAATAAATATTTAAAAATAAAAGCCAGGAGGAAAGAATGTCTGAAAACAATGTAATTGTAAATCAAATACTGAAATGACACACTCATCATGTCTCATACACACATCATATAATTATGTATATATCCTGCTTCAATTCACAGGGTGTAAAACCAGGCCCAGTAGAGAACATGGCTGTGATGTTTGCACAGATAATAAAGCTGGTTGGCAAGAAGGAAGCCATATTCATTCGACCACACAACGCAGAGATACATGTGGCGTCAAACCAGAGAATGATTAGATAAATAGAGAAAACGGATATAATTTGTAAGTGAATTTATTAATGTGTTTAATAAATTCTGGCTAGGACAACCACACAAACGGCAGCAACTTTCCCTCTGCTTCATTCTTTTCTCCTGTTCAACAGGCTTATTATCTGATTATCAGCACAGCGGACTTGTAACACTAGCAGCAGTGGAGATGGAGCATCAGAACCTGGAGAATACAGCAACAACAACAAGGATCCATTTGAAGATAGGTAAATATTACAGTAATAGTGTACTTTCATTGTGTGGGTGTAACATAGTTAAATAGAGAGAGAGGGGAGAAACATTCCACTTGGACTTTATATTTTAATGAACTTAGTAATTATTGTCCTGTATTTCTTTCCGATTTCACAGCTGCAAGAACCTCCATCTGTGCCTGCACCCAGGTCAAGATCTACCGTGGCTCAAGGGCCTTCACCAGAGCCACCACCACCAAGGACCAGCAGACCAGCATCACTACAGCAGCCTCCACCTCCATCTGTGCCTGCCACAAGATTAAGATACACCTCGGTACAAAGGCCTCCACCACAGCCATCACGATCAACCCAGCCAGCAAAGAAGTCTCGCCTAGCACACCTCCCTCCCTCCGACACAGCCACCAGCAGCCCATGCACCATCACCCCCACCTACACAGCAGCCAGACCCACTGTCTTGGAAGACAGACAAAGACCATGGCACTGCTCCCCCTGTCTTTACATTTATAATGAATAGTTGGTTGAGAAAGTTCTGATATTGTCAGGGTTCGTACAGTCATTAAAAACCTGGAAAAGTCATGGAATGCAATATTTTTCCCAAAGTTTTGGAAAAGTCATGGAAATATAACTAAAGTTGCATCAAATATAATTTATATGTTATCTAATCGCCGAAATAGTAATACTATAATGATAATAAATACTGTATCGTATAATGAAATGTAAAATGGCAACTGTGGCAGTATTTAGCTGGTGAGAGATGTTTACAATCATGCCCTCTAGTCTACAGGAGCTACTATTTGATATAAAGATGCCAGGGAAGTGCAGTTTCAACAATGTATGGCTTCTAAAGAATAAGTACCAATTGTGGTTATCAAAAGACATTGACCCAAGACGTGCTAAATGCAAACTGTGTTGTAACATATTCAATATTTTGAATATGGGCGAGGCAGCGCATGCTAGCCACATGAAAGAGTCATTTAAAATCATTGGTGAAAAAGTGTATGAACCCTGTATTGTAAATATTGAGATTTTACAGTTTCTTATGTTAACATAAATAGTTGGTTGAAAAAAAAAGTTGTAATGCTCAATTTGTATTTGTACACATCACATGAACCTCAGTATGGAATATGAAGTCATGAATCAGTCCTGATGTAACTTTTCTGTGGTGAAAGTAGAGTGATATAACTATTTTACTCCAAATTCTAATTTACACATTTTCATTTTAGACATGAACAACAAATGTATATAGGCCTATAGTGTAATTCATATATTTCACTACTTTTGTGAACCAAAAACGTTGGTAAACCAAATCTGAAGCACAAAAAAAAATGGATGACATGAGTACATCTGTGTTTTCACAAGAGTTTTTAAGTTTTCCAAAAATCTGATTTCTAAGCTAAGTATCTCATAAAACAGTGCTCTAAGTCTAAGGTGAGTGACATTGCATTTCTAGCAAGACCAGAGACTGAACAATTTTGATATCTTACACCATGCCATGTTATAAGAAGTGCATTTAAAAGGTGACTTAAGGAGACATAAATACCCTTCACTTCAGTAAGATAAGGTAAGGCGATTTTATTCCAAAAATCTGATTTCTAAGCTAAGTATCTCATAAGACAGTGCTCTAAGGTGAGTGACATTGCATTTCTAGCAAGACCAGAGACTGAACATGTTTGATATGTTACACCATGCCATGTTATAAGAAGTACATTTAAAAGGTGATTTAAGGAGACATAAATACCCTTCAGTAAGATAAGATAAGGCGATTTTATTTTTAAAAGACAATGAAGGCAGGTTATATTGATTGATATATTTATTATATTGAAAGCCAAATTAATACGTAACACATTTTGTGTGTAAAAATGATTTACACATAAATAAACACAACACGTGTTGTCCCTGAGCACACTCTGTAGGTGTGTTGAAATTCAACACATGTTGTGTCATTTTTGACACATCCCTTCTAAGAGTGTACAGCAGACAGTAGCTAGCAATTTTCGACAGATACAGCCCACTCAAAAATATATTGTTTTATATAAAATTAATTAATTTATATATATATATATATTAGCTGTACACTTTACGAATATAATAGTTTTTTATGGACAACTTTACCATTCAATCTCGTCCAACTGATCTTGCAGCTGTCACTCCTCGGCTCTTGGTAGTTCAGGCATTTATCAAACCTGGCAACTCCGGGTTTCCTGGCAGCTGTCAATCAAAGTCCAGTGGCTCCGCCCCAAAGTGCCAGAAACTTTTCACGCGCGCGTAGACAGACTCAGCGAGGCTGATACTCCCGCGAGCGAGCAAGAGTGTATGGAAAGCCATTTGCGTCACAATTCGCGCGTTTATTCGCGCGTAGTTTCGCGCGGATTAACGGGTAGGTCCGTTTATTCGCGCGAAACAACGCGCGAATAAACGGGGAGGTCCGTTTTATAAACGGGGAGGTCCGTTTAAATTCAAAGTCTCAGTAACCAATCAGTGAAGAGCAAAACCAGACCAAAGCAATCTGTAGATGAAAAGTTCCTGACATTTTGAGGCTGTAAATTGTACGTTATTCCAGATTCAGGGGACTACATGCCCCTAACACACAATGTGCACATTTTACACATTGTGTGTCATAAATGTGTAACCAAGATGAACACACTCATTTGTTATTTCTGCACATTTTGTGTTATATTTCTTTAACCAGAATTAACATTTGATTGTGTAATATCTGCACATTGTGTGTCAATGACGATTACTGGAAGTACCAGGTGGTGGATATGGTTTTTATTCAAAAAATCGAATGCAAGAATACATTCATTGGACATTTATTTACAAGGATTTCATTAGCACAATATGTCATTAAGAAAATAATTGTTAACATTTAAAAATATTAATATTGTTCTAATTCATCAAATGTTGACAGAATAGATCATTCATAAAATCACACCTTATACCTATACAAACTTAATCTTCAGCAAACTATTGTTGTAAATGACTTTCAGCTGAGGGAATATAGTGATGAGATTCTTCACAAGGACCACCTTTTCAGTGTTGGATGGATAATTAAGGATAAAAATGAATGACAAGTGAGCTATTTTTTATTTATTTTTTAAATAGAATACAACAGTTCTAGCATACAAATATTACAAATGCGTGATAATAAAGCAATTGGTTATAAAGAATGTCCTTTTGTATCAAGCAAATAAAAAAACAATTTTTACAACCAATTATATTTATATATGCAATTTTCGACAGATACAGCCCACTCAAAAATATATTGTTTTATATCAAATTAATTTATATATATATATATATATAAGCTGCACACGAATATAATAGTTTTTTATGGACAACTTTACCATTCAATCTCGTCCAACTGATCTTGCAGCTGTCACTCCTCGGCTCTTGGTAGTTCAGGCATTTATCAAACCTGGCAACTCCGGGTTTCCTGGCAGCTGTCAATCAAAGTCCAGTGGCTCCGCCCCAAAGTGCCAGAAACTTTTCACGTGCGCGTCGACAGACTCCGCGAGGCTGATACTCCCGCGAGCGAGCAAGAGGGCTGTCTCTCTCTCGCAGAGCCGCTCGCGGGGGTTTAATCTGCGCGCGAGGGTCATTTTATGCGCGTGTAAAAGCACATTTTCCGCTCGTGAGTAGCTTGTTTTACGCGCTAGAATATTGACCCAAATCTGCACTCTTCACAACGAAGGATCACTTCTTCTTCAAGGCAGGGAAGGTTTTGCAGTACGCAGTCTACTGTCCCGCAGCTGCTGCCTCTCTGTTGAACTCCGGTACTGCACACAGTGGTTACTGCGAACGCCGTAACCACGCCGCAGTCACCCCCATCGTGCGGGCCGGATGAGAATGTCTGGCGGGCCGGATGTGGCCCGCGGGCCGCCAGTTGGTGGTCACTGCGATTAAAGCTTTCTCAATACTCTAATTCCCCTCCTCGACTCCTATCCTCGTGTCTTAGTCCCGCCCACAGGAGATGCGAGTCGAGGAGGGGAACCGAGGAGAGAGGAATCGAGGAGTCGAGGAGGGGAACCGAGGAGAGAGGAGTCGAGGAGGGGAACCGAGGAGAGAGGAGTCGAGGAGGGGAACCGAGGAGAGAGGAATTGCGGAGTCGAGGAGTCGAGGAGGGGAACCGAGGAGAGAGGAGTCGAGGAGAGAGGAGCCGAGGAGAGAGGACTCGAGGAGAGAGGAGTCGAGGAGGGGAACCGAGGAGAGAGGAGCCGAGGAGAGAGGACTCGAGGTGGGGAGCCGAGGAGAGAGGACTCGAGGAGGAGAGAGGAGTCGAGGAGGGGAGCCGAGGAGAGAGGAGTCGAGGAGGGGAACCGAGGAGGGGAGCCGAGGAGAGAAGACTCGAGGAGGGGAACCGAGGAGAGAGGACTCGAGGAGGGGAGCCGAGGAGAGAGGACTCGAGGAGGGGAGCCGAGGAGAGAGGACTCGAGGAGGGGAGCCGAGGAGAGAGGACTCGAGGAGGGGAGCCGAGGAGAGAGGACTCGAGGAGAGAGGACTCGAGGAGGGGAGCCGAGGAGAGAGGACTCGAGGAGGGGAGCCGAAGAGAGAGGAGTCGAGGAGGAGAACCGAGGAGAGAGGAGTCGAGCCGAGGAGAGAGGATGGGAAGCGAGGAGAGAGGAGGGGAAGCAGCAGGCGGTTAGAGGAAGGAGAACTCCTCTCCTCTGAGCGGTCATTTTGAAGAGACGTCCATTAATGATGACAGGAGGCAGCAGCCCTCTGTCTGATGGACAGATGTGTTCATGACCACTTCTATATTTACTTTGATTCATTCACAGTGCGGTGTAATGAGACATTAACAGGCTACAGATGCGGACACACACACACACACACACACACACACACACACACACACACCTCTCACCTCTCACCTCGGTTAGAGCTCCTCCAGAGAGCCTCCTCTCTCCTCTCTCCTCGGTTAGAGCTCCTCCAGAGAGCCTCCTCTCTCCTCTCTCTCCTCGGTTAGAGCTCCTCCAGAGAGCCTCCTCTCTCCTCGGTTATAGCTCCTCCAGAGAGCCTCCTCTCTCCTCTCGCATAGCTCTCCAGAGAGCCATAGCTCCTCCAGAGAGCCTCCTCTCTCCTCGGTTAGAGCTCCTCCAGAGAGCCTCCTCTCTCCTCGGTTAGAGCTCCTCCAGAGAGCCTCCTCTCTCCTCTCTCCTCGGTTAGAGCTCCTCCAGAGAGCCTCCTCTCTCCTCTCTCATAGCTCCTCCAGAGAGCCTCCTCTCTCCTCTCTCCTCACTCCTCGGTTATACCTCCTCCAGAGAGCCTCCTCTCTCCTCGGTTATAGCTCCTCCAGAGAGCCTCCTCTCTCCTCTCTCCTCGGTTATAGCTCCTCCAGAGAGCCTCCTCTCTCCTCTCTCCTCGGTTATAGCTCCTCCAGAGAGCCTCCTCTCTCCTTGGTTATAGCTCCTCCAGAGAGCCTCCTCTCTCCTCGGTTATAGCTCCTCCAGAGCCTCCTCGACGCTCGATCCTCGATTCTCGATGTGCATTTAGAGAAATGAGATGTCCTTCAACATGGCGCGCTGAAATTCATTTCCGGGTCACTACCGGAGGACCGAGGAGTCGAGGAGGGGAAATTAGAACATTGAGAAACCTTCTGATGATGCTTATTGAGTTTATTTAGAAACCCTTAATGTGTCTGAAATACAAAGAAAGGAAACCAACAAACAAATGTTAGTACTTTTATTTATTTCTTACACTGAGGCAGAATATCACAAATAAATGTAAAAAAAGAAATTTCACAATAAAACATCCGGTTGGTTCTCGGACAGAAACACAGAAGAAGAACCAATTCCTCTTCTTCTCTTTAATATTCACGCTGTGTCTGAAGTCAAAGTACTGCCATCACTATTTAGGGTCAGGGTCAGAAGGGTTAGGGTCAGAAGGGTTAGGGTCAGGGTCAGAAGGGTCATCCATCTGTCTGAAGGATCACTTTATGGCAGCAGACGGTCTGCTGTCTGTCTGAAGGAGGATCACTTTATGGCAGCAGACGGTCTGCTGTCTGTCTGATGGAGGATCACTTTATGGCAGCAGACGGTCTGCTGTCTGATGGAGGATCACTTTATGGCAGCACGTCGACGGTCTGCTGTCTGTCTGATGGAGGATCGCTTTATGGCAGCAGATGGTCTGCTGTCTGTCTGATGGAGGATCGCTTTATGGCAGCAGACGGTCTGCTGTCTGATGGAGGATCGCTTTATGGCAGCAGACGGTCTGCTGTCTGTCTGATGGAGGATCACTTTATGGCAGCAGACGGTCTGCTGTCTGTCTGAAGGATCACTTTATGGCAGCAGATGGTCTGCTGTCTGTCTGAAGGATCACTTTATGGCAGCAGATGGTCTGCTGTCTGTCTGATGGAGGATCACTTTATGGCAGCAGACGGTCTGCTGTCTGTCTGATGGAGGATCGCTTTATGGCAGCAGACGGTCTGCTGTCTGTCTGATGGAGGATCACTTTATGGCAGCAGACGGTCTGCTGTCTGTCTGATGGAGGATCGCTTTATGGCAGCAGACGGTCTGCTGTCTGTCTGATGGAGGATCACTTTATGGCAGCAGACGGTCTGCTGTCTGTCTGATGGAGGATCGCTTTATGGCAGCAGACGGTCTGCTGTCTGTCTGATGGAGGATCGCTTTATGGCAGCAGACGGTCTGCTGTCTGTCTGATGGAGGATCACTTTATGGCAGCAGACGGTCTGCTGTCTGTCTGATGGAGGATCACTTTATGGCAGCAGACGGTCTGCTGTCTGTCTGATGGAGGATCACTTTATGGCAGCAGACGGTCTGCTGTCTGTCTGATGGAGGATCACTTTATGGCAGCAGACGGTCTGTCTGAAGGAGGATCACTTTTTGGCGACGGTGGCGGCGCGGTTCAGCCGGTCAATGAGCAGCCGGTCGGAGGTGGAGCTTCGAGAAAGAACCAACGCCATCTCTGACTCGTTCTTTCTCTCGATGGCAGCGTCCGCCGCTCCCTCCAGGTCGCTGAGGAGAAGAGAAGAAGAGTCACTGATGATGTCACTGATGACCACACTGATGACCTCACTGACGGTGACAGTCTTACCTGACGGCCAGGTGTGCTCTGACCCTCTGCTCCGGCATTACCTTGGAGACGTACTTCTTGGCTTCAAACCTGTTGTTGCTCTTCATGCAGACGTCCACAAACGCCTGAGAAACACAGAGCGTCCATTATCACCATATATTACAATATCACCATGTGATGACATCACAATATCACTATATATATCACTACGTGATGACATCACAATATATATATCACAATATCACCATGTGATGACATCACAATATCACCACGTGATGACATCACAATATATATCACCACGTGATGACATCACAATATATATCACAATATCACCACGTGATGACATTACAATATATATCACAATATCACCATGTGATGTCATCACAATATCACTATATATATATTACAATATCACCATGTGATGACATCACAATATCACCACGTGATGACATCACAATATATATCACCACGTGATGACAACACAATATATATCACCACGTGATGACATCACAATATATATTACAATATCACCATGTGATGACATCACAATATCACCACGTGATGACATCACAATATATATCACAATATCACCACGTGATGACATCACAATATATATCACAATATCACCATGTGATGACATCACAATATCACTATATATATCACTACGTGATGACATCACAATATATATCACAATATCACCACGTGATGACATCACAATATATATCACAATATCACCATGTGATGACATCACAATATCACTATATATATCACAATATCACCACGTGATGACATCACAATATATATATCACAATATCACCACGTGATGACATCACAATATATATATCACAATATCACCACGTGATGACATCACAATATATATATCACAATATCACCACGTGATGACATCACAATATATATATCACAATATCACCATGTGATGACATCACAATATCACTATATATATCACAATATCACCACGTGATGACATCACAATATATATATCACAATATCACCACGTGATGACATCACAATATATATATCACAATATCACCACGTGATGACATCACAATATATATCACAATATCACCACGTGATGACATCACAATATATATCACAATATCACCATGTGATGACATCACAATATCACTATATATATCACAATATCACCACGTGATGACATCACAATATATATATCACAATATCACCACGTGATGACATCACAATATATATCACAATATCACCACGTGATGACATCACAATATATATATCACAATATCACCACGTGATGACATCACAATATATATATCACAATATCACCACGTGATGACATCACAATATATATATCACAATATCACCACGTGATGACATCACAATATATATCACAATATCACCACGTGATGACATCACAATATATATATCACAATATCACCACGTGATGACATCACAATATATATCACAATATCACAATATATATATTACAATATCACCATGTGATGACATCACAATATATATCACAATATCACCACGTGATGACATCACAATATATATATCACAATATCACCACGTGATGACATCACAATATCACTATATATTAAAATATCCCCATATGATGGAATTATGATGACACGATATTATGATATTCAGAAGACATGATATAATGACATTACAATGATATCATATTATGATGTCACGATATGATGACATTATATAATGATGTCACGATACTATGATATTATTATGTCACAATATGATGATATTATGATGTCAATATATTATGATGTTATATCACGATATTATGATGTCACGATATTATGATGTCACGATATGTCACTGATGACATGATATTATGTTGTCATGATATTATGATGTCATGATATTGTGATGTCATCATATTGTAATGTCATGATATGTCACGATATGATCAATCAATCAATGTTTATTCATATAGCCCAATATCACAAATGTTACATTTGTCTCAGTGGACTTCACAGTTTGTACAGAATATCAGTATGACAATACGACACCCTCTGTCCTTAGACACTCTGTCCTCAGACACTCTGTCCTCAGACCCTCTGTCCTCAGACCCTCTGTCCTCAGACCCTCACATCGTACAAGGAAACACTTCCGGAGAAAACCCACAGTGATGATGACATCATTATAATGATGTCACTGATGACATGATATTATGATGTCACTGATGACATGATATTATGATGTCACTGATGACATGATATTATGATGTCACTGATGACATGATATTATGATGTCACTGATGACATGATATTATGATGTCACTGATGACATGATATTATGATGTCACTGATGACATGATGTCACTGATGACATGATATTATGATGTCACTGATGACATGATATTATGATGTCACTGATGACATGATATTATGATGTCACTGATGACATGATATTATGATGTCACTGATGACATGATATTATGATGTCACTGATGACATGATATTATGATGATGCTATCAGGCTATGATATGACAAAGAATAGCTACTCGAGCTGAGCATTTCGAGGATTAACAGGCTGGGCAGGGCTTCCTCTCACCAAGTAGCCAATAGGAGACTTCTTGCTCTTGGAGAACTTCTCTAGCTCCTCCCACTCCTCTTTCTCCGCCAAAGACTTCAGCTTCAGCCACCAATACCTGAGAGACAGGGGAACACGTCAGCCAATCAGAGCTCAGGTAGCGGTTAGTGTGTGAACAGCCTCATGCAGTAAGCCTGAGTCCCCAGCTGACTCAGAAAGCGACTCAGGTTCTGGTCCAGGCTCTCGTCATCTCACGCCTAGACTACTGCAACTCCCTCCTGGCTGGTCTACCTGCATGTGCCATCCGACCTCTGCAGCTCATCCAGAATGCAGCGGCTCGTCTGGTTTTCAACCTTCCTAAATTCTCCCACACCACTCCGCTCCTCCGCTCCTCCGCTCCCTTCACTGGCTTCCGGTAACTGCTAGAATCCACTTCAAGACACTGGTACTTGCTTACCGTGCTGCGAATGGATCTGGCCCTTCCTACATCCAGGACATGGTTAAACCGTACACCCCAGCGCGTGCACTACGCTCTGCATCAGCCAAACGACTCGTTGCGCCCTCGCTGCGAGGGGGACCCAAGTTCCCATCGGCGAAAACACGTGGGTTTGCTATCCTGGCTCCAAGATGGTGGAATGAGCTCCCCATTGACATCAGGACGGCAGATAGCTTGCACATCTTCCGGCGCAAACTGAAAACTCATCTCTTTCGACTCCACTTCGAGCGTTAGAACGATTAACGAAGCACTTTTATACCAATAAAGGACTGGATTACCTAAAGCCAGTTGAGCAGCACTTGAAATGTTTGGCTCTATGAAACCTGATATACTTATATGATTCTGTTTTTTTCAAGGTTGTGTCTTCCTGGTCGAATGTACTTATTGTAAGTCGCTTTGGACAAAAGCGTCAGCTAAATGCAATGTAATGTAATGTAATGTAATAAGCCAATCACAGAACAGTTAGCCGTCTCACCTCTTGTCAGGAACTCTGAAGTCTCTGTAGAGCTGCTCCGCCTGTTTGTGGAGACCCAGAGCCAGCAGAGCCTCCATGGTGGCCTGGAAACCAAGGAGACGGTTAACCCCGCCCCTTTATTTAACAACAGCCCCGCCCCTTTATACATGTGGCACGCCCCCTTTACCTGTAGAGAAAGTCCCAGAAGCCCCGCCCCTTTCTCATCGTCTAGTTTGCGTTGGAATCTCAGCAGACGCATCTCGTCCTCTGTGGCCTGAAACAAAAAACATGTTAGATTATGTTAGATCCAGGTCTTCACAGGTGAGGTGTTACCTGTCCGACAGGTGAGAGCAGATAGAGCATTACCTGTGACACACTTCAGTTTAATATATCCGAGAGGATTACCTTTGCTGAGAACTCGTTCTTTGCCTTGTTGTACTCGTCCACAGCGCTCTGCAGGAGAGACAGACGGCTGTCCAACCTCTGCAAGACAGGTGAGACAGACAGGTGAGATACAGACAGGTGAGACACAGACAGGTGAGACACAGACAGGTGTGAGACACAAACAGGTGAGACACAGACAGGTGAGACACAGACAGGTGAGACACAGACAGGTGAGACACAGACAGGTGATATGAACAGGTGTTACCTTCTCTCTGTAGCTGGCAGTAACTTGGTAGTTGGCCAGTTCCTGGTGATCGTCGTCCTGGTTATACAGGTCCTTCAGAGTTTCCTGTTCCTGCAGCTTACAGAACTGAAAACAACAACAAACTACAGGTAATAAACTACAGGTTAATAAACTACATGTTATTAACATGTTGTTTATTAACCTGTGGTTTAGAACAGGTTAATAAACTACAGGTAATAAACTACAGGAAGTACCTGTCTGTAGAGGCTCAGAGCCACAGGCTGGTTCCTCAGGGTCATGAAGAAATCTCCTCTGTTCATCTCGTTCTTCAGGTACGTCACCACCGTGTACACTTAGGGGGGGAAACATACTCACATCATCTACACATGACACAGGTGACGGCGGGGCTACTACACAGGTGTGGCTAAGATACAGGTGTGGGCAGGGCTAACACTCGGGTGTGGGCGGGGCTAACACTCAGATGTGGGCGGGGCTAACACTCGGAGGGGAATAACATACAGGTGTGGGCAGTGCTAACGCTCGGGTGTGGGCGGGGCTAATACTCAGGTGGGGCTAACATACAGGTGTGGGCTAACATACAGGTGTGGGCAGGGATAACACTCAGGTGTGGGCGGGGCTTACCCAGGTCGGTGTCTCCGCTCTCCACAGCCTTACTGAGGGCCAGCTGACTCCTCTTCATCTTCAGCAGCAGAGGAACCTGTTCTCCAGAGCGGGCCTCAAAGTCCAGGAGCTGAAATATATATATATATATATATATATATATGTACACTTGTACATACTGTGTATATAAATACACAGGTGTGTGAAGGTGTAATGACTCACCTTGATGGCCAGCTCCGTGCGGCCACACTCGTAGGCTTTAGCTGCGATGTGAGAGTAAGACACACCAGGTGAGTCTCCCACCTTCACACATACCGCCCGGGCAATCGCCTCATCCGTCAGGTCCTTCTGCTGCACCTGTACAGGTGAGGCAGGTGAGGCAGTCGAGACAGTAAGACAGGTGAGTGAGAGAGACAGTGAGACAAGGGACTGAGCGAGACAGTGAGACAGGTTACCTTGCAGGAGGCCCAGTGCTTGAGGACTCGGCTGACTCCCTGGTAATCTGGAATCTTCAGGTAACGACAGATCTCTATCGCTAACGGGTAAAATTGTCTGTACACCAACCTGAGAGACACACAGGTAAGAGACGGACAGGTGAGAGACAGACAGGTAGAGACACACAGGTGAGAGACAGAAAGGTAGAGACAGACAGGTAGAGACACACAGGTGAGAGACAGACAGGTGAGAGACAGAAAGGTAGAGACACACAGGTGAGAGACAGACAGGTGAGAGACAGAAAGGTAGAGACAGACGGGTAGAGACACACAGGTGAGAGACAGACAGGTAGAGACACACAGGTGAGAGACACACAGGTGAGAGACAGACGGGTAGAGACACACAGGTGACAGACAGACGGGTAGAGACAGACAGGTGAGAGACAGACGGGTAGAGACAGAAAGGTAGAGACAGACAGGTAGAGACACACAGGTGAGAGACAGACGGGTAGAGACACACAGGTGAGAGACAGACGGGTAGAGACAGACAGGTGAGAGACAGACGGGTAGAGACAGAAAGGTAGAGACAGACAGGTAGAGACACACAGGTGAGAGACAGACGGGTAGAGACACACAGGTGAGAGACAGACGGGTAGAGACAGACAGGTGAGAGACAGACGGGTAGAGACAGACGGGTAGAGACAGACGGGTAGAGACAGACAGGTAGAGACAGACAGGTGAGAGACAGACGGGTCGAGACACACAGGTGAGAGACAGACGGGTAGAGACAGACAGGTGAGAGACAGACAGACAGGTGAGAGACAGACAGGTAGAGACAGACGGGTAGAGACAGACGGGTAGAGACAGACGGGTAGAGACAGACAGGTGAGAGACAGACAGGTAGAGACAGACAGGTAGAGACAGACAGGTAGAGACAGACAGGTAGAGACAGACAGGTGAGACGGACAGGTGAGACGGACAGGTAGAGACAGACAGGTGAGACGGACAGGTAGAGACAGACGGGTAGAGACAGACAGGTAGAGACGGACAGGTGAGAGACAGACATGTAGAGACAGGCGGGTAGACACAGACAGGTGAGACGGACAGGTAGAGACAGACAGGTGAGAGACAGGCGGGTAGACACAGACAGGTGAGACGGACAGGTAGAGACAGACAGGTGAGAGACAGGCGGGTAGACACAGACAGGTGAGACAGACAGGTACAGACAGGTAGAGACAGAGAGGTGAGAGACACACAGGTAAAAGACAGACAGGTGAGAGACAGAAAGGTAGAGACAGACAGGTAAAGACAGGCGGGTCGAGACAGACAAGTAGAGACAGGCGGGTAGAGACAGACAGGTGAGAGACAGACGGGTAGAGACAGAAAGGTAGAGACAGACAGGTAGAGACACACAGGTGAGAGACAGACGGGTAGAGACACACAGGTGAGAGACAGACGGGTAGAGACAGACAGGTGAGAGACAGACGGGTAGAGACAGAAAGGTAGAGACAGACAGGTAGAGACACACAGGTGAGAGACAGACGGGTAGAGACACACAGGTGAGAGACAGACGGGTAGAGACAGACAGGTGAGAGACAGACGGGTAGAGACAGACGGGTAGAGACAGACGGGTAGAGACAGACGGGTAGAGACAGACAGGTGAGAGACAGACGGGTCGAGACACACAGGTGAGAGACAGACGGGTAGAGACAGACAGGTGAGAGACAGACAGACAGGTGAGAGACAGACGGGTAGAGACAGACGGGTAGAGACAGACGGGTAGAGACAGACGGGTAGAGACAGACAGGTAGAGACAGACAGGTAGAGACAGACAGGTGAGACGGACAGGTGAGACGGACAGGTAGAGACAGACAGGTGAGACGGACAGGTAGAGACAGACGGGTAGAGACAGACAGGTAGAGACGGACAGGTGAGAGACAGACATGTAGAGACAGGCGGGTAGACACAGACAGGTGAGACGGACAGGTAGAGACAGACAGGTGAGAGACAGGCGGGTAGACACAGACAGGTGAGACGGACAGGTAGAGACAGACAGGTGAGAGACAGGCGGGTAGACACAGACAGGTGAGACAGACAGGTACAGACAGGTAGAGACAGAGAGGTGAGAGACACACAGGTAAAAGACAGACAGGTGAGAGACAGAAAGGTAGAGACAGACAGGTAAAGACAGGCGGGTCGAGACAGACAAGTAGAGACAGGCGGGTAGAGACAGACAGGTGAGACAGACAGGTACAGACAGGTTCAGACAGACAGGTACAGACAGGTAGAGACAGACAGGTGAGAGACAGGCGGGTAGACACAGACAGGTGAGACAGACAGGTACAGACAGGTAGAGACAGAGAGGTGAGAGACACACAGGTAAAAGACAGACAGGTGAGAGACAGAAAGGTAGAGACAGACAGGTAAAGACAGGCGGGTCGAGACAGACAAGTAGAGACAGGCGGGTAGACACAGACAGGTGAGACAGACAGGTACAGACAGGTAGAGACAGAGAGGTGAGAGACACACAGGTAAAAGACAGACAGGTGAGAGACAGAAAGGTAGAGACAGACAGGTAAAGACAGGCGGGTCGAGACAGGCGGGCAGAGACAGACAAGTAGAGACAGGCGGGTAGAGACAGACAGGTGAGACAGACGTGTAGAGACAGACAGGTTGGACTCACCTGTCGATCAGCACCTGTAGAGTCATCTGTTTGAATCTGAGGTCAGAGGTCAAGGATCAAATTGCATCAGGTGATGACATCACTACAGGTAACAGACTGCACTACATGTCCCATGATGCACCTGTGAGTGAGGCTAACTACAGGTAACAGACTACAGTTCCCATGATGCCCTGTGTTAGAGGATACTGAGTGTGGGTGAGAGGCAGACCCACGCTGCTCTCTCTCACTGAGTTCAGAACCCTCAGCTCTCTGCAGGTCAGAACAAACGGGTCGGGAACAAAGTCCGTCAGGAAGCACTTCCCAAAGGACGCTGCCTACAACACAGAACAACAACACAGAACAACAACACAGAACAACAACACAGAACAACAACACAGATTTATACCTGAGATAGAACTCACCCTGAGCAGGTCCTTCTGGGTAATGGAGTCGTACTCGTGTCCTGCCGCCTCCACACACTGACGGACTGCTTCTCCCAGCATGCTTTGCTCCTTTATCTCCCTCAGGTACTCATCAGCCTTCTGACTGGACTTCTACAGAGAGACACACAGGTAGTCAGACAGGTAGACAGTCAGAAAGAGAGTCAGAGCGACAGGTAGAAAGTCAGACAGACAGACAGACAAAGAGACAGGTGGACAGTCAGATAGGTGGACAGTCAGACAGGGAGTCAGTCAGACAGGGAGTCAGTCAGACAGGTCGACAGTCAGACAGACAGGTAGTCAGGTAGACAGTCAGACAGGTAGTCAGTCAGACAGGTGGACAGTCAGACAGGGAGTCAGGTAGACAGTCAGACAGGGAGTCAGTCAGACAGGTAGTCAGTCAGACAGGTAGTCAGTCAGACAGGGAGTCAGTCAGACAGGTAGACAGTCAGACAGGGAGTCAGTCAGACAGTCTGACAGGTAGACAGTCAGACAGGGAGTCAGTCAGACAGGGAGTCAGTCAGACAGGGAGTCAGTCAGACAGGGAGTCAGTCAGACAGGGAGTCAGTCAGACAGGTAGTCAGTCAGACAGGGAGTCAGTCAGACAGGTGGACAGTCAGACAGGGAGTCAGGTAGACAGTCAGACAGGTAGACAGTCAGACAGGTAGTCAGTCAGACAGGTAGTCAGTCAGACAGGTAGTCAGTCAGACAGGGAGTCAGTCAGACAGGGAGTCAGTCAGACAGGTAGACAGTCAGACAGGGAGTCAGTCAGACAGGGAGTCAGTCAGACAGGTAGACAGTCAGACAGGTAGACAGTCAGACAGGGAGTCAGTCAGACAGGTAGTCAGTCAGACAGGTAGACAGTCAGACAGGTAGACAGTCAGACAGGTAGTCAGTCAGACAGGGAGTCAGTCAGACAGGGAGTCAGTCAGACAGGTAGACAGTCAGACAGGTAGACAGTCAGACAGGGAGTCAGTCAGACAGTCTGACAGGTAGACAGTCAGACAGGGAGTCAGTCAGACAGGGAGTCAGTCAGACAGGGAGTCAGTCAGACAGGGAGTCAGTCAGACAAGGAGTCAGTCAGACAAGGAGTCAGTCAGACAGGTAGACAGTCAGACAGGGAGTCAGTCTGACAGGTAGACAGTCAGACAGGGAGTCAGTCAGACAGGTAGACAGTCAGACAGGTAGACAGTCAGACAGGTAGTCAGTCAGACAGGTAGTCAGTCAGACAGGTAGTCAGTCAGACAGACAGGTAGTCAGTCAGACAGGTAGTCAGTCAGACAGGTAGTCAGTCAGACAGGTAGACAGTCAGACAGGTAGTCAGTCAGACAGACAGGTAGTCAGGTAGACAGTCAGACAGGTAGTCAGACAGACAGGTAGTCAGGTAGACAGTCAGACAGGTAGTCAGTCAGACAGGTAGTCAGTCAGACAGGTAGTCAGTCAGACAGGGAGTCAGTCAGACAGGGAGTCAGTCAGACAGGTAGACAGTCAGACAGGGAGTCAGTCAGACAGGGAGTCAGTCAGACAGGTAGACAGTCAGACAGGTAGACAGTCAGACAGGGAGTCAGTCAGACAGGGAGTCAGTCAGACAGGTAGTCAGTCAGACAGGTAGACAGTCAGACAGGTAGACAGTCAGACAGGTAGTCAGTCAGACAGGGAGTCAGTCAGACAGGGAGTCAGTCAGACAGGTAGACAGTCAGACAGGTAGACAGTCAGACAGGGAGTCAGTCAGACAGGTAGACAGTCAGACAGGTAGTCAGTCAGACAGGGAGTCAGTCAGACAGGTAGACAGTCAGACAGGTAGACAGTCAGACAGGGAGTCAGTCAGACAGTCTGACAGGTAGACAGTCAGACAGGGAGTCAGTCAGACAGGGAGTCAGTCAGACAGGGAGTCAGTCAGACAGGGAGTCAGTCAGACAAGGAGTCAGTCAGACAAGGAGTCAGTCAGACAGGTAGACAGTCAGACAGGGAGTCAGTCTGACAGGTAGACAGTCAGACAGGGAGTCAGTCAGACAGGTAGACAGTCAGACAGGTAGACAGTCAGACAGGTAGTCAGTCAGACAGGTAGTCAGTCAGACAGGTAGTCAGTCAGACAGGTAGTCAGTCAGACAGACAGGTAGTCAGTCAGACAGGTAGTCAGTCAGACAGGTAGTCAGTCAGACAGGTAGACAGTCAGACAGGGAGTCAGTCAGACAGACAGGTAGTCAGGTAGACAGTCAGACAGGTAGACAGTCAGACAGGGAGTCAGCCAGACAGGTAGTCAGACAGGGAGGTAGTCAGACAGGGAGTCAGTCAGACAGGGAGTCAGTCAGACAGGTAGACAGTCAGACAGGTAGTCAGTCAGACAGGGAGTCAGTCAGACAGGGAGTCAGTCAGACAGGGAGTCAGTCAGACAGGGAGTCAGTCAGACAGGTAGACAGTCAGACAGGGAGTCAGTCAGACAGGGAGTCAGTCAGATAGACAGACAGACAGGTAGACAGTCAGACAGGTAGTCAGTCAGACAGGGAGTCAGTCAGACAGGTAGACAGTCAGACAGGGAGTCAGACAGGTAGTCAGTCAGTCAGACAGGTCGACAGTCAGACAGGTAGACAGTCAGACAGGGAGTCAGACACGTAGTTAGATAGACAGTCAGACAGGTCGACAGTCAGATAGGTAGACAGACAGTCAGACAGACAGACAGTCAGACAGAGAGACAGGCAGTCAGACAGTCAGAAAAACAGTCAGACAGTTAGACAGTCAGACAGTCAGACAGGTAGTCAGACAGACAGGTACCTGGTACTCCCGGTGGGCCTCCAGCAAAAGAGCTCCAGGAGCCATGGAGGCGATCTTGAAGATCTCCTGACAGACGAGAGGAACCTCCTGAAGGAGTTCCTGCTGAGAGGAGCTGAGGATCCGGACCCCGTCCAATTCTCCCACCAGAACACAGGGTTCCTCTATCGGGAACCTGGTCAGAGGTCAAGGCTCACAGCGGAGAACCAGAGAACCATTAAAACAACAAGAAGCCTACTGAGGTCCAGGAGAACCCTACTGAGGTCCAGGAGGACCCTACTGAGGTCCAGGAGAACCTTACTGAGGTCCAGGAGAACCTTACTGATGTCCAGGAGAACCCTACTCATGTCCAGGAGAACCCTACTCAGGTCCAGGAGAACCCTACTCAGGTCCAGGAGAACCCTACTCAGGTCCAGGAGGACCCTACAAGGTCCAGGTACCCTAATGAGTTCCAGTCCAAACTGGTTTGTGGTTCTATTCTGAAATGGTCTAAAGGATACTGGATGTTGTCCTGACGGACTCCAACCACCATCAGCAGTTTGTCCCACAGCAGAACCACAGACGGCTGCTGACTCTTTGGCCTGCGACACCTGGACAGGTATAGACAGGTACAGAGGCTGAGACAGGTGAGACGGGTGAGACAGGTGAGAGGACAGACGGGTAGACAGACAGGTACATACCAGACCATCTGTTGGGGGGGGTTTGTGTTCTTGGTGTCCACTTCATTCAGTTTGTCCTGCAGGCACAGAAGCACCTGTCAATCACCCACACAGACCCCACCCCCTCACCACCTGTCAATCACCCACACAGACCCCATCCCCTCACCACCTGTCAATCTCCCACACAGACCCCAACCCCTCACCACCTGTCAATCACCCACACAGACCCCACCCCCTCACCACCTGTCAATCACCCACACAGACCCCACCCCCTCACCACCTGTCAATCACCCACACAGACATCACCACCTGTCAATCACCCACACCGACCCCACCCCCTCACCACCTGTCAATCACCCACACAGACCCCACCCCCTCACCACCTGTCAATCACCCAAAGAGACCCTACCCCCTCACCTCATGTAAATCACCCACACAGACCCCACCACCTGTCAATCACCCACACCGACCCCGCCCCAACTGTCAATTACCGACCCCCACCCCCAAACCACCTGTCAATCAACCACACAGACCCCACCACCTCGCCACCTGTCAATCACTAAGACTCCACCCCCTCACCACCTTACACAGACTCCCCCCCCTTACCACCTGTCAATAACACAGACTCCACCCCCTTACCACCTGTCAATAACACAGACTCCACCCCCTCACCACCTGTCAATAACACAGACTCCACCCCCTCACCACCTGTCAATCACAAAGACCCCATCCCCTCACCACCTGTCAATCACACAGACCACATCCCCTTACCACCTGTCAATCACACAGACCCCACCCCCTCACCACCTGTCAATCACCCACACAGACGCCATCCCCTCACCTCATGTAAATCACCCACACAGACCCCACCCCCTCACCACCTGTCAATCACCCACACCGACCCCGCCCCCGCCCCACCCGTCAATCACCGACCCCACCCCCCTAACCACCTGTCGATCAACCACACAGACCCCACCCCCTCACCACCTGTCAATCACACAGACCCCACCCCCTCACCACCTGTCAATCACAAATGGCGCGTTTCCACTACAGGCCTCGCTCTGTTTGGTTAGGCCTTATTAGGCCCGGCTCACTTTAATGCTGCGCTTCCATTACAGTTTAGGAACTGGGGCAGTTACTATAGTAACGCAGTGTAGGCGGAGCCGTGACGTCTTCTTCAATGAGCGCCCCAAAAAACAACACAGCCGTTAGCTGTTAGCACTCAGAGCTCACAGCTCCTCATATCTGTTCAGAAACTAGACAAAAGTTAAACAAGTACAAACCACAGACTGTCTGTGTCATGGAGAATACAGTCGCTGGTTTATTTATGTCTGTATAGGCCGTTGTTGTGAGTGTGGACGGTCGGAGCATATATAACGTTAGCTTAGCCAAGCTCCATTTAGAAAGCACGCATTTTAAAAGGGTTTTTCGTCTGCCGTCTGTCTGCAGACTTGTCAAAGCATTAATTCATGGTTTTTACTAACCGGTATCAGTATGTTGTTACTTCGGCATCATTTTGAAACGTGTATTACAATTAAATCACGGACAAATATGTTCATGTTGTTGTAGTTGTAGCCCCCTTGCCAGCGATTCTCTCTTAGCATACTCAGCCCGACTCAGCCTGGTTGTTCCTGGCCCTAGAACCACCATTTAGTCGGGCCAGAAAAAAAGGTGAAAAAGTAGCCCCGGGCCAAAACTAGGCCAAGTGGAAACGCAACCAAAAACGGGCCCCGCACGGCTCGGCACGCTTAAAGCGAGCAACCCGCTGCAGTGGAAACGCGCCAAAAGACTCCACCCCCTTACCACTTGTCAATAACACAGACTCCACCCCCTCACCACCTGTCAATCACAAAGACCCCATCCCCTCACCACCTGTCAATCACACAGACCACATCCCCTTACCAACTGTCAATCACACAGACCCCACCCCCTCACCCCCTGTCAATCACCCACACAGACTCCACCCCCTCACCCCCTGTCAATCACACAGACAACCACCCCGCCCCTGCACCACCTGTTAATCACCGCCCCGCCCCCTCACCCCGGTCAGATAAGGACCCTAATTGGTCGCTCACCTGAAGGTGGGAGGGGCCTGTCCACAGGTGTCCGGTCTCTGTGAACAGAGCCAGGTATTTGTAGCTGAAGGAGACGGACATGTGGACGATGCTGCCAGACTGAGGACCCAGACCTGGAGGACTCTGAGAGACAGACAGGTAGTTAGTGACGTGTCTCACCTGTCTGTCTACCTGTCTGTGTACCTGTCTGTGTCTCTGACTGTCTCACCACCGCGGTGCAGGACGTGTTGTCCAGGATGTAGAGATCCGGTCCGGTGGACAGCAGGACTTTAGTCTGCCGGTCCTGGGTCAGAACCAGCCAGCAGACAGGCTTCCCCTGGAGACCTGGTGAGAGGGGGACAGGTGAGTGGGAGACAGGTGAGAGGGGGACAGGTGAGAGGGAGACAGGTGAGAGACAGGTGAGAGGTGAGAGGGAGACAGGTGAGAGGGAGACATGTGAGAGGGGGACAGGTGAGAGGGAGACATGTGAGAGGGGGACAGGTGAGAGGGGGACATGTGAGAGGGGGACAGGTGAGAGGGGGACAGGTGAGAGGGAGAGGTGACAGTGAGAGGGGGAGAGAGGGACAGGTGAGAGGGTGAGAGGTGAGAGGGAGACAGGTGAGAGGGAGACAGGTGAGAGGGAGACAGGTGAGAGGGGGACAGGTGAGAGGGGGACAGGTGAGAGGGAGACAGGTGAGAGGTGAGAGGGAGACAGGTGAGAGGGAGACAGGTGAGAGGGGGAGAGGTGAGAGGGGGACAGGTGAGAGGGGGACAGGTGAGAGGGGGACAGGTGAGAGGGAGACAGGTGAGAGGGAGACAGGTGAGAGGGAGACAGGTGAGAGGGGGACAGGTGAGAGGGGGGAGGTGAGAGGGGGACAGGTGAGAGGGGGACAGGTGAGAGGGGGACAGGTGAGAGGGGGACAGGTGAGAGGGGGACAGGTGAGAGGGGGACAGGTGAGAGGGGACAGGTGAGAGGGGACAGGTGAGAGGAGGGTGAGAGGGAGAGGTGACAGGGAGAGGTGAGAGGGAGACAGGGGAGGGTGAGACCGACAGGTAGGTGGACCCTCACCTGGGACCTCAGGTAACCTCCGGAGCTTTAGGTCGTCGATGTTGGTCGCCAAGGTGAATCGAGAGGAACCCGTTACTATGGCAACCCCTGTTCCATAAGGAGAGTGGAACACCTGGGCCTCCAACACCTGAGACTGAACCACTTCCTGTTTACAGAGAGAGAGAGACAGGTACACCTGAGACTGAACCACTTCCTGTTTACAGAGAGAGAGACAGGTACA